GCATTTGCTGCCAAGCCATCCAGAGACACCGTATTGTTCTCCACTTCGTTCCTAATTTAATGCACCAAGGCACTAATTCAACTATGCGTCCAAGCCATTACAAATTTTCACCCTGCACCTTCTCCATGATGACTCCGTCCAGCATCAAACTCCCATGTCCTTCCAACTCCTCTACTCCACTTCCATAACGAAGCTAGCAGCTAACCAAATTCATCCTTATTTTCTCTTGATGCCCACAGTAACACGGGGGGATTCTTCTAGTTTTACCAATTATCCATGCATTCACGCCGATTATTTGCACTTTTACCTAACAAAGTTCCACTTTTGCAGATATTTGAGTGGATTATCCACACAGAACATACTATCTATAAATTTTACAAATTATCCATACATTCACGCAGATTATTTATACTTTTACCTAACAAAGTTCCACTTTTGCGGATATTTGAGTGGATTGTTCACACTTTTACGGAGATAGGATAATGCATAGTAAACTCAAACGTAAACTAAGTATAATGAGTTCTAGGTCAAGCCAGATTTTGAGAAGTGCTTTTTAATATTTCAATTAGCAAATCCATAAAGTACCTGCACTCACTAACGCACACGACCAAGTATATCGAGTGGGGCAAGAATCTTTAGATTGCTAAAGGGGATGAATAGCCTAATTAAAATTTCTTGCAAGCACAAACACTAGATAAAAGGTTTGAGCCAAAGTTCGCCCTAATAATTTTACTCTAGCTAGTGTTTTGCGAACCTAGAGTGATCAACAACCTACAAAATTCTAGTCTCAAGATATGAACTAAGATATGTCACTAGAATTGAAAAGATTTAGCTAGGTTTTCTTCATAGGATGACAAGTCCTAATATCTCTACTCTAGTAATTGAAAAGGCACAATGTAAAGCACAAGAGTAGATAGCAATACCTCACAAAAGGAGACACAACGATATATCCCCGTGGTCCAGTAACTTACCGGTTACCTACATCAATGTTGAGGTGAGACCTAGGATCATCGCTTCTCTATCAAGACTCAATCCCGCAAGGTTGCCTCATCCACTTGAGGGCTTGATCTCTAAGCTGACTCAATACCTAGGCACTCTCAACACCTCTATTCCACTAAAATTGCTTTGTGCCTACTCTGTCAAGGATGAGCACAAGAGCCTATCACAAATCACCTCCGGAGAACCTCACAATCTTCAATTTGACTGCTTCTATGGAGTCCTACCGCTACAAGCCGTTTAGATGGCGGCGACCACAAAGGGTAACAAGCAAACCTAGGGCCAACTTGATCTCTAGTGTCACTCAATGCAATCTCTCAAAACAAATGCATTAAGATCACTCCAATCTCTCCAAAGATGCAATCACAAACAAGCAAATTAGATTGGAAGCTTAACTTGAGCTCTAGTGTTTGTGGATATCAGTTAGGGGGTCCACGAGTTGTAATATGCCCGACCACACTCTCTATTTAGTCCCCCCCAAAAAAAAAAAAAAAAACTAACAGTTGCCAACTTTCAGCAGATTTTCAATCCTCACCAGAGAGCTTCGGTGGTCACCAAAGTTCTCTCAACAGTCACTAACACCCTGTCAGAGTTAGTTGTTACAACATTTTAAGCTCTAGTGCTTACCTCTCAGAGCTCAGGAGCACAAAAACACCCTCTCTGTAACGACACTCTGGTGCAAAGCTCACGTGGGTCACTGGAGGGCTTTGGTGCCCATATTTAAATTCTCCCATGCGCCAAATTTTATCAGAACTAAGCTCTGATGCTCACCTCTCCAGTGTCACAGGAAGTTAGGATCGTTTCACTAAAAAACAGCCGAGGTTGGGTCATTGCTCTACGCTCTGGTGGTCCCCGGAGAGCTCTAGTGGGTGTAAAAATACACCACCGAGCTCCTTTTCAAAAAAAAAAAAATTTTCAAATGGATAACTCCAATAGATCTACCACGGGATGATCGACCAACACCTTTAGCACTAAGTTACCATTAAAAAACTCAAAATTTTTTACTTGATCTCACCTTGCCACTCGATCCTAATGCATATGCAATGTTAGATCTCACAAGTGGCACTACATAACCACATTTGCAAACTCAATTTGTCCTTTTATAGTACAACTATCTATCCTATCAACTCGGCCATTTGCACTTTTCTAATCATCTCATGACCGAAAGACAAACCTATGCATATACTTTTTGCCTTCGCTTGTCTTTCCTCCTCTCCACTTCTAGCATCCGTCACTTCCCATCTCATCACTTCACTACTACAGGAAACTTAACCGAGGCGGGCGAAATGGCTTAACCGAGGCGGGCAAGCCAACCGCCTCGGTCCAAAGGTCACGGTTAATCGTGGCCTTAACCGAGGCGGTAATCGTTTAACCAAGGCGGTTGAGTTAGATAGCCCGCCTCCGTAAATAATTTTATGAATTAAAAAAAAAGCCCACCGAACCCAGTCCCGTGCGCCGCCGCCGCCAGTGGCCGGATCCACACCCCTGCAATTGCTGGTGGCCGGATCTACTTGGTGGTGGCCGGATCTGCGCCCCACCGCCTCCGGTGGCCGGTTGGTGGCTGGATCCGCGTCGGGAGCTCAGAGAGGGAGGCCGCACCACGCTCGGAGGAGAGGGAGGGGGCGCCGCCGTCGTGCTCGGACGAGAGGGAGGCAGCGCCGTGCTCGGAGGACCGGGAGGCCACACGCCTCCGCCCGCGCGCGCCGCCCACCGGAGCTGCCGCGTGCTCGACGGCCACCGCCACCGCGTCGGATCTGTTCGCGCGGAGGCCCTGGATCCGCCCTCAGGGTGCGGCCGCCTGCCTTCACCAGCGCAAATCTGAGCACGGGAACCCACACGGGCAGTGAGAGGGATGGAGGACGAGGGAGAGGGAGGATGGCCGTCGGATCTGAGCGTCGAAGAGGGAGCCGGACCTGGTTGTGCACGCGAGGCCGCGCCGTGGATGGACCAGGAGGAGCGTCGCCGTCGCATCCGGCCGCTCCATCGCCGGATCTGCCGCCGCCCGGATCTAGCCCCCATTCCACCAAGGGGAGGGAGGGGTGCCGCTGCGCCAAGGGGAAGGAGAGAGGTCGCCGCCGTTGGTGAAGGCCGGTGCGCCGCCTCCATGGCCGCCCCGTGCGCGCCGCCGAGAGAGCCCCCGCGCGCGGCACACTTGCTCGCCCGCCTGAGGAGGAGGGGAGGGTGGGGCGCCACTGCCTGGGAGATGGAGAGAGTGGAAAGAAAGGGGCCTACGCCGCTGCCTGGGAGAGAGAGAGGAGAGAGCGGCGCCGAGGGATACTCGGTTAGGTTAGGGTTTTCATCGGCGCTGGATATTAGGCTGAAAATGCTGGGTCAGAACTTTGGAGGCGGGCCTTATTGACGACCGCCTCGGTTAATCGATTAATCGAGACGGTTGCATTACAATAACTGCCTCTGTTAATAGGCATTAACCAAGGCGGTTTTGTTACAATGCCCGCCTTTGTTAATGATTAACCGAGGCAGTTGCTGGCCCGGCTGCTCTGCCTCGAATAACCGAGGCGGGCAACTAGACCAACCGCCTCGGAGCTCCAAAGTGAAATGTTGTGTAAAAGATTTTCTGTAGTAGTGCTTTGTTGAGCTTTTGCATATCATGATCATGCCATCGCCACAATGGTTCTCATGCAACTCCAAGTCTTGCTTATGGACTAGTCGATCTTAAGCTTTCATCTCGCATGAAATCATTAGTCCACAAATTTTGTCATTAATTACAGGTGGCATGAAGAAATCAAAACAAGAACACAAAATACAATCAAAGCAAATGGATGACTAAGGATTTGTTCCCCGAAGTTCGACTACTTCCAAGATGGACCTACCTCTTCGTGAGAAAGCCATGAGTGACCACCAAAGGTCAAGCTCAAGCCATGCTTCTTTGAACCGCTTTTTTCACTTCACTATCTTGATTTATTCACTTGCAGAGGTGAGATTGGGGTAATCACAAACTTTTCCACGACTCACCACAAGCATGGGAGATCGCTAGGCGAGTGTTTGATGGTGTGAAGTAGGAGATAGGGTTTGAGAGGAGAATCTAGTAAGGCAGCGAACCAAAGAACTAACCATGCAACGCCAAAGATGATTGAGAGGGCATGTACAGCAACTTCATCGGTGCAATAATGTTTGTCACATTGACCTTTGTCTTTTCGTGGTCCGGGTTGTTTGCTTCCCATCGTGGAAAGCACGCCTGGCCCTGGCCACGGCTTCTCGACAAGGCTGCAAACCAAACACGCCCTCAGGGCGTAGAAAGGGCATATCTCAGGCAACGAAAGAACTGTAATAACATGGTAGCAAACAGATGATTTACAGCAACATTTCTCCAAAAAAAATTGTTAGTTATAATGGCATATATCCAATTCATCCTTTCTGCTTGTCGCCGTGCTTGTACGATTCCTCCATAGTCCATACATGCATATATAGGGGGGAAAAGAAAAACTTATTCAACAATCATGAAAAATATTCAATTAAAAAATCATAAAAAGTACTCCGTATCTTAATGGCTCACAGTGAACAGATATTAGTAAATTCACTGTCGAGCAGTCCTATATCTATTTAATAGTAACAAAAATTAAATCAAGTAGCACTATTTTTTTACAGATGCGTCTCAGTAGTTGTCAAGAAAATATCAGCAACTGCAAAATTTTCAAGTGCAACACACCATAACTATGTACAGTAAGGCGAACAAAAGCCGGATCTTGCCAAAAAAAAAAATCATAATAGCTTACTGCAGCATCGCCATCTGCGGTGCCACAGCCTGCAGAAACAGCAATGTCCATGCAGACAGTAATATACTAAACCTAAGTATACATCTAGGACAAGTTAACAGGCAACCTTTAGGCGCTTAACACAAGACCAGTCACTAAACATGTTCGCTGTCCAAAGACGAGAAAAAGGTTCCTATTTACATGCTTTCGTTTATTCATCACCTCAGTGAAAAACTGCACATGGTAGAGCCCTATGTTTAGTTTTTCACCACTCTGAAGAGAAACAGAGCACTATAGAACCCTAAGCTTGGTAAGGAAGGCCGCACAAAAGTCAAGGAAGAGGAGTTGAGGTCCAGTAACTCTCTGCATATCGAGGAGGTACTTGTCGTCCTTCGTCTTGTAAAGCTGAAGAACAACAAAACAATGTCAGCAAATGCATCGCCAGAGAATGTGGCATTTGAAATGCATTACAGCATTAGTACTACGAGTACATGATAGATGTAATATATGGTTTACTAGTGATGTTAAGTATCAAAATTTTGGAAGTTCGTTTGGTAAAAATGGCACCAGATACTACTTGTTAGAACTACCAGATGCATGTGCTGTAGATTCACATGCTGGAAACACAAAAGTATGTATTAGGAATTCCTTTAAAAAAAATAAGACTGAGGCAAGGCAGCTTGAAAACACACAATTTACTTATATTATTAACGGTGATTCAAACCACAAGATTGAAAGAATAGAGAATGCATTGCTCTGTCCCCACTACAACAATGATTCAAAACATGTGAATGGACAAATCGACAATAATGGGTTAAAAATCATGATGAATTACATGGTGAACAAAGTTCAGTTAGTGTAACGAGCTACTACACACCTGGAATTCAAACTTGATCACAGCAGGTAGCCTCCCATTTGCATCATCATTATCCATGATGGTAGAGTCACCAAGAAAGCTGTTGCTGGCATCTAACATGTCATGGACTTCAGGAAACCTTGGGAGCCATCTGCATTTCATGTTGTAGTGCCCATTCTTCTTCCAGCTGACGTTTAATTCTTGAAGTGCTTTTAAGACCTCAATCATTATTTCACGAGGGTGGGCCCGAGACTGTTGGTGAAGTGATACATCAATACAAGTGCTAGGTCATACAAAGCAGAGTAAAATGAACAGTATGCAACACCTGGAGTCCAAGCGCCCATTTTCTTTCAACAGGATAATGTTGTCGCAAACCACAGCTATGAGGATCACTGCTTCCTGGAACATAATTCCTCGTACCAGAACTAGATGATTCGGACGACGCCAGCTGATTTAAATTCCTGTCCTGGAGAGGCAACCATTCAAACATCAATAGATCAAATAAACCCTCAATTTTTTTTTTGTTTAAACACCCAGGTGTTAATGTGTACTAACCATTGATTCTTGATAATCTGCCCCAAGATAGCCACTAGTTGCTCTAAACCGATTGTCCAATAGTAAATAATATGCAACAGTTGCCTGAAAAATTTGCCAAAAATTAGTAGTGAAGTCACCAAAAGGAACATAAGGTTCACAATGCATGTCCATACCTCATTTTGAAGTCTGCTGCACAGTGATTCACACACATGGTTCTTGTTAAATCCCATATTAACAACATCTCGAAGTGTATCTTCATCAATCTTCAGAAAATGACAATGTCGGAAAATGTCATAGAATTGTCAGGAGAAGAATGATATGTGGCTAATAAGTGTAGAAATCAATCCAACGGAAACACCTAAATATCCCTAAAAAAAGTAACAATGCATGAAAAATTTAGTGCTCCACTTATGTACTCCATGAGACATACATGCTGGTGGATTGGTGCTACTATACAGACTAACTGCAGTAAGGAATTACTCCAAGAAACAGCTTTTGACTATAGATTTGTACAGTATAATATTACGTTCAATAGATACTACAGAAACATGCTTATAAAAGTATTTTTCATGGAAAATAGATAGATGACATTCTGATATGAACAATATATATACTTTTTCCTACACATTAGTGGACAAAATTAGAAAATTTTGGACACAACCATACAATAGCAGCATAGCCACTTATAATTCAGAGGATATACCATTTTGGCTTGCTGTGTCGTGTCCGGTGGAGGCACTGCCAAGTAACGAGGAAGGCGAGTCTGGAACCATTGATGCTCCCGAATTTCCCGAATTGTGATTCTCTTCATAGGCTCGACAACAAGCATTCGTGGGATCAAATCCCTTGCCAAAGCAGACAAATGACTTGGAAGTGTGTAGATACCTCCCTAAAAAACCGTAAAACCAGGTAGAGGATGGTCACAACTCCAGAACAGAATCTAATTGGTGCAAGGTTTGTAGTCCATATAAGTGCTTTCTCACCTTAATTTTTTTGAACAGGTTGGGAATATTCTCATCATCAAATGGAAGAGTTCCACAAAGAAGAGCATAAAGGATCACTCCACAACTCCATACATCGACCTCAGGTCCAGCATATAGTTTACCAGATATTACCTGCAACGGAACACCCACTATGTATCAAGAAACATGGTGTGCAAAAAAGGACAAAAATATAACAGCAAACTCACAGCAATAGGAATAAAATACCTCTGGAGCAGCATAGTTCGGACTCCCACAGCTAGTCTTCAAAAAATGGCCATCATGCATGACATTGCTCAAACCAAAGTCAGCAAGTTTTACATTGTACTTTGAATCAAGTAACAAGTTTTCTGGCTTTAGGTCACGGTGGACAACCATGTTTCTATGGCAGTATTCGACGCCAGATATGATCTGTTCATGAATTTTTCAATGCGGAAGAAAACAAAAACTAAAATAAGAGAAACCTTGAATTTAGATACAAAAGAAAAGGGAATATTTTAACTGGCGTATCCTCCACGGAAAGATGTAATGTCTAAAGCATGATTCAAAATTCTGAAACATGCGATAGTGATACCCTAAGACAAAGCAATTACCACATCATGCTTGTGAGTCAACATGGTGACACGTCAGAAGCTAAAAATAAGGCAAGGCAAAACCATCCAGATACTCAATGAGGAGGAATATGGATGCAATGTCCATAAATATCAAAATTCACTGATGCAAAGCAAGATAGAACAGTTCTTTGATAACTACCTACTGTGACTTGGAATAGCAAGTCACTAGAAGTAACTAGACAAGAAAAATGATAAATACCTGCTGGAAGATGCGGCGAGCTTCATCTTCCTGTAATCTGCCTTTCTCAACAATGTAATCAAACAACTCGCCGTACTTACAATATTCCATCACAACATATATATCTGTCGGTGTGTATATGACCTCGTAAAGCCGGATGATATGGGGGTGAATGAACAACTTCAATATCTTGATTTCTCTCTTTGCTGGAAACAGGATCCAGGGGGTCTTAATTATCAAAGCAATTCCAGGTCAATATTATCAAAAGCACCATTAAAACTAAGCTTGCTTATTATCAAAAAATTATTAGCGAAAATGCACTATAACTGGATAAGAAACCATACCTTTCTCTTCCATTTCCATATTTCTCATTTGGCGGCAGTTGATGATCTTTATAGCAACCCTATGTCCTGTAAGCTTATGCTCGGCAATCTTCACTTTTCCAAATGTGCCAATACCTAAAGTTCTTCCCAGGTTGTAGTTCCTTAATGCTTCAGAATGTCCACCCCCTCTAGTGCTTCCATCCATTTTCACTCTGCCATTAATAAAAGAAGATATTATGTTCATTGTATAAGAAACAGGGCAATATAAATTATATTTAAAGGATTCATTGCCCGGTAAAAATACAGATTGTACTTGGTGTACTCCCCTTAACCAAACCCTAACCATAAGCCATCCCAAAAGCCTTTAGAGGCCTTTGTCCTATGCAAAACATCCTAAGGCATCCTCGCAAAATAGAACCCCGTTTAGAGCATAACCTTTACGGTGCCTGCTCACTGGATCTCATCCATGGATGTTCAGGTGTTGCATCCACAATATTTAACAGATAAAAAAAAACTCGGGCTGCGGGGTAGACACCCCCAAGCTATTTTAGCTTCAGGTAGAGGACTTCTCACCCAGTCCGAGAAAACCCCCAAACCCCATTGGCCCGCCCGCACATCCATTTGGGAACGGAAATTCGCCTGACCAAGGATTCGAACTATGGTCACGGGGGACGCCACCCGGAGGCTTGACCAACTGGTCTAGCAACTATAGGCTATTTAAGTGGCGCAAAAGTAGATTTCCACAGCCAGGGCTCCCTTGGTGCTGGAAAGATATTAGTAAGCAATGGAATCCTATGGTTTAATTCCTTCAAAAAGCCCTAACCAGCAGAGGCAACCCGGTCACCTCAGACAAATAGATCGATAAACGGCAGCACCTAATTTGCTGACTACCTAGTGTCAAGAGTCAAGACGCTTAGTATTAACACGTGGATCTGCACACATAACACACGCCAGTAACCAATCAGGTACTACGGTCCCATCCATACAAGAAACAGACGGGATACAAATCGGAATCTCTCGGCCAGAGAGGCCTTTGAGCTCAGAAGCTAAAAATTGAGGAAAGTGAGATCGACTGTGCACTCAATCTACTGACAAACTATGGAAGCAAGAGACCTCATGGAAGCAATAGATCGAGGTTGATCTTGTGCCAAGCGATGAGAGCCTAGCTGGGAAGGATCGGAGATAACGAAGCTAGAGGAGAATACTTCCTTACAGACCTGGTGTTGCGTCCGTGGAGACGAACACCGCCTCGCTCTAACAGCCCGTCAAATCCCCCGCCACAACCGCAGCGTCAGCACCAAACGCCGCTCAACTCCCCCACCTCATCTACTCCTCCGATGCTACGAAATCTCCTCGCCCTCCCCAAGCAAATGCGACAGCGAGCGCCGCCTTGATCCGCAGCTCAAAACCACCCCCGAATCCCGGACCAATTATTACCTCAGTTCCCAACCCGAAGAAGAATCGATGCAGGAGAGCTGAGCCAACCAGGAGGAAATCCACGAGAACAGCAGCGTGGTTACCTTTACTTACCGGGCTCGCCGGCCCTCGACAGGTCAACCTTCCTGCGCGCGGACGAGCGAGTGCGGGCGGAGGAGACGGGGAGCGGAGCCACCCACGAGTGCGAGAGCAGGGCCGAGAGAGGTTTTGGGTTGTGGGCAGTATGGCCGGCTTTGGTCCGATTCCGGGGGGCGGAGCGCGGAAGCTTTAACCCGGTGTTAGCTTAGTTTAATCGTCCGCCCTCGGCCGGGTTGGGCGAGGCGGCGGCGTTACCGGGGGAAGGTCACCGTCGCGCTGACGTGGCAGCTCGCTCTCCCGGCCACGCCCGCGTTTGGCTCCTTCTGCCTTTCGGTCTTTCCGTCGCTCTGTGGCTCCTCTCGATTTTCTTTCCTTCTTTTTCTCGTGTGCGTGCGTCCGTTTGCTGGATTGCTGGATGGCGTGAGATGGACGGACGGCGGCTGTGGCTTGTGGGAGGCGCTTTTGGTCGCCGGTGGGGTGGGCCGTGGGCGAGCTGACACGGCTCTGATGCGGAGCGGCGTCGGAGCATGGTTGTTTCCGACGAGGAGGACCTATGGATTGGTTGCATCGTGCACGTGGTAAATGGCTCCCCTGGTTTGTTGTTAACCCACACACGATGACGCGACGCGATCCCTGGCGCCGGCGCATTTGCGCTGCTCCGCAGTTCGCCGCTGGCGTGGTCTCGTGGCCATCGCCGCCCGACGGAGGAGACGTGGTATTATCAAAGTATTTCCAGCGAGAGATTAGTTAGGTTAAATGTGCCCCGTGTCAAGTCGCTAAGAACCTTTGTTAATACTGTACGATAATACGATAAGGTGAGTGACCCAAGCTGGGAGGTGGGAGCTGACTGTTCTGAAAAGGGGTTAGATACATTGAGCATTTAGCCTGTTCGTTTTGGCTAAAACGATCGTGAATTATTACTGCTAGCTGGTTTGGTACGAGAGAAAAATATTATTCTAGCTTATAATCCATGATCGTTTATGACCAAATGAACAGGCTGATTGTTTGCGCTGAGCTAGTTGCAATCCATTCTTGTGGTACTTTGGTAGTGTGTACGAAGGAATTTGGTAGCAAGTGGGGGGATTGGCACGAGGTTTGGAGGTGCAATCGAGCATCGAATTGTTCTTTTCTGTATTTTAATGTGCGAAAGAATTTGTTAGCTAGTGGCTAGTGGGTCTTGGTTCTTGGGCACGAGGATTGTAATGCAATCGAGCATGGAACTGTTCTATTCTAAATTTTAATAACGTCAGGTACTCTGTTTTCTTGTCAACGCCACGAAAACCGAGTAGATGTTCTTTTTATATCTATATCTGTAATATCTATGTATATATCTACTTAATATTAATACCTATACATACCTAGTATTAAAGAGATAAATTTCTCTCCACCCATTCTTTCATCTAGCCCTCCCTCTAACTACCTCGTGATGTGAAAATTGTATCTGTTCCTTTATTTGCAGCCCTCCATTTTTATATATGAAATATGTAGAGCTTCCTAAGATAACTTAGATAACCTAGATAGCTACGAATCCCAACCGAAATAGATCTTCTTAACAGGAATCTAATCTAAATAAAAAATTATATATTATCTTTTTATCCTAATATTAAATCATGATTTTTGTGTGTTTTGTGTTCTACCTGTGCTCTTTTACATGTATACTAACTCTGCCTATCCATATTTTTTTTCCATTCGGCCTTTTTTTTGTCATCGTTTCTATTTCCCGCCCGTCCTCATGTGCGCGTTTCTGTTTTGCGTTTCTATTTTTTTCGTCTTTCTTTTTTCATTAATGCTTGAGTCAGGGCGTCCGTTCGGTCGGACACTGGCTAGCTTCCTAGGCCTGCGGACCAGTCCAGCCTGCTTCCCCTCACGGTCCATCTAAAAATAAGGAACACCGTTTTCTTCCTTCTCGCCTAGTCACTCGTTGCGCCGCAATGCCCGCACCGTCCACTGAGCCCCGCTCCTCTCCACGCGCTCCTCGGTGCCGCATTCTCCGCCTCCCCATGCCCTCCTCCATCCTCTATCTCCACCACATCCGAGCGCTAGCGGTCACCTTCCTCCCTCTCCACCGCGCTCACCAAGCATTGCGCAAGCGCCAACCGTCGTGTGTGGCCAGGCAGCCAGGAGAGGGGCAGTCGCTGGCCGGGCTCAGGCCAGGTGTAGGCATAGCTGGCCATTGCCAGGTTACTCCACCATTCTCGGTCGTCGGCTAGCCGGAACCGACTGTTCCTGGTCTGCTTTACGTCATCCAAAGAAGAAGAAGAAGGGTGAACAACATATGTTTCAAGAGTATGTTCCAGATGTTCCATAGATATGTTGCAAGTGTTTTATATGGATGTTGTAAAAGTAGATCGGGATGTTGCATATGTTGCAATGCTTATACACGAATGTTGCAAACTTCTGTTTTTAATGTTTCATCTATTTGTTCAGACGCATGTTGCAAGTGTGTTTATCTGAATGTTGCATATGTTTTCACACATATGTTGCACGTGTTTTATCTGGATATTGCTTATGTTTTGCAATAGTTTTCAAGTGCTTTTCATATATTTTTACAAATGTTTTAGACGCATGTTTCAAATGTTTCATCTTCCTTCACACGTATATTTCAAATGCCGCATCTAGATGTTTCAAAAGTAGATTGGGTGTTGCACATGTTGCAATAGGACCCACATGCCGCAGCGACCTGCAGTAGTTGCTGGGGAGCCGCCGAGCGAGCACAGACGCGGAGGGGGCGCGAGCGGTTCCCGTCGCGCGGTCTAAAGGCGCGGGTGACGTCCGGGGCAACGCAGGGCCCTACGTGGACGTGCAAAACACAGGTACGGCGAGGGCATGCAGGCGCGGGGGTGAAGTACAGGCGTGCGTGGAAAATGAAGCGCGAACAGGGGCGCAGTGCACGCACGTGGGAAACGAAGTTCAGACTCGGGCATCCGGCGCATGTGTCCGTCCGGACGTCCGGGCTCCTGTTCTTTTTTTTTCATGTCTAACTTCTCTTCCCGTTTTGTAAAAAAACTTCATGTGTCCCCACATCTCTTTTTTTCTATATCCAGCTCTCTCGTTCACTGATTTTTCTTTTGTTTTTCCTTTTCTAGAGTATCTCCATTTTATTAGATAAAAATAAAAAATAAAAAATAAATATAGTATTTTGGATCTTTGAACTTTGGCCATTCTTTATCCCTATCCCTCGTCCCTCATAAACAAATATTCTCACCACTAAGTTATTAGTGTAATTTTAGTTAGGAATACAACTTATTATTATTAGAACCTGGATTAGTTGATGGTTTAATTAATCAAACTATGAACTAAAATCTTGAGTAATTTATCAACTTAATGAAAATAAATATATCTTATAGTTGTACATACACAATGCAATCCTTGACGAGGGTAGCTATATATAATTTGATCGAGAGAGGTCTTGATAACAACTAATTCATTACCAATTTTAATCGGATGTTAGAATTACATATTTTTATAGATGCCACGTAGAAATCAAGATTTTCGACAACAACTTACTCGTTGCCTATTTTAATCAGATATTAAAATTACATACCTTTGTGGATCCTAAAAAGAAGTAACTTGATATCTAACTCTACCAACACATACATGGTATGAAAAATAAAGATGAAATATTTATGAGTAAGTAAATATTTTTGTACCTTACAATGGAGGAAAAAATCTATCAAGGTTGTAGTTTAATTCAATTTAGACTTGATAGGTCATCGTCATATTATTATCAATATTAACTTATAGAATATTCTTATATTATTGCCAATATTAATGGCTTCGGCACCTGATCAAGCGAAGCCACGTCAAATGAGACCGTACGGAGGAGTGCTTCTGCCCTCTCGTACACGGAGCCAAAGCTGTTTTGGTGGTCAGAGCTCGAGCACCAAAAGTTGACTCCACCAGTAGGCCTTTGACTCCGGCTCCGCCTCCACCTCCGGCCACATAGCACTTGGCATAGAGCCGCACCAAACGTGTGTGCCCTTATATTATGGATGCTATAGTGATCATATAATAAATTGTAGCTATTAAATTTTATTGAAAGGATTAAAAAAATAAATAGATATTACATATCTCATTCATAAATTTTCAAATTAAAGTTTGATAGTTTTTCTCTAAATTGTAGCTATTAAATTTTATTGAAAGGATTAAAAAAATAAATAGATATTACATATCTCATTCATAATTTTTCAAATTAAAGTTTGATAGTTTTTCTCTTCCGTTGCAACACAAGGCCATATTTGCTAGTTAGGAAAAAAAACAACGGTGGAGGAACATCTGCAATCCTATTAGCAAATTTGAGGTGCCAAACTACCTTCTCCTATAGTCCGTCTTTTTCAGTTTGTTTTTTCAGCCGAAACAGTGTTTTTCTCTCACAACAAATCAGCCGGAACAATGTTTCGGCTTGTTTTTTCAGCGAAGCGAACAGAGCCATTTGGCTTGGATAGTCAAAACTCAAAGGATACTCTCTTCATCCCAAAATAAATGCTCATCTTACATTTTGAGGAGTCAATTAATTTTAAGTTTGACTAGATTTGTAAAAATAGTATCGACATTTTATCTCTAAATAGGTTTATTATAAAAATATATGATGTTACTAATGAGTAGTTATTACTGTTAATGATTAGTATGTTAAATAACGATTGAAATCGATGAACAGATCCAAACGTTACTGCAGTAAGTAAATTACTCGAAAAACTACAAAAATGTATTGGTACATTAATAAAGGATTTAAAGCACAGAACGGGGTTAAGCAAATCAGATTGTCACAAATCTAAGGTACAGCTTGGGCTTAACATTCAGATGCCCCCTCCACCAGGGCATATTACAGCTAAATAAAGCTATGCCAATTGCAAACATGCTAGGTTAATTACAACATCAACAGCAGTAAACTAGCTGGTCACAGTTTATCCCCTCAAGACTACCAAACCAACTTTCAGCTTTCCGAATCTGAATCTATAACTGACTGGAGGTTCAAGGCAGACGAACCAATATGGATTCCTCTAACCACACCACCATACCCAACGTTTATTTGGTGACATAAAAGTAGAATGGCATCCCACAGAGCTGTTCTTCCCTGGAAAGTGAAAACATAGATGTATAGTGTCAAGACTTATTTTCACGAAAGGTTTAGCGTTAAAGCTTAACCATCGATGCTCTAAAGAGCATAATCCTGGGGTACGAATTAAGAATTCACATAGGTAACACATATATATTAACAAAAGCAAAGAACTTATTGAGAAAAAGGGCGTACTCAATGCAGAGAGTTCCCGCTCTGTGCGGGGTCTGGGGAAGGGTGTTAGTGGCAAGCCTTACCCTCGCCTGTGCAATGCGAGGAGACCGCGACTTGAACCCGGGACCTTCCGGTCACAGGCGGTAAGACTCTACCGCTTGCACCAGGCCCGCCCTTCAAAGAACTTATTGAGAGAACAAATATAATTGATTAATGTCATGTTTAGCAGTTTAAACGATGCAAGCATGTACTTCTCAAATGAGGCTCATCAGCCGCTCAAGTTTCCATACTGATAAATCATCATGTTCATAATAAACAGCAGATGAACAAGAGGTACGACCTCCGAAAATATGCCCATCTATTCCCAACCAGATTTGAGTTCATAAGATGATAACTAAATGTAGCTTCATTCAAGTCCTACCTCAACTCCTCAAGCAAACAAAACTACCCGCTTCCTACCATTCTTCTGTGTTTGTTTCTCCCATCTTTCCTTAAATTCCTAGATTGTGTATCTTATTAAAACAAAAGAGCACTCCCTCAACAGCAACCCATGCTGAAATAAATGACTGAAGGGAGGAAAAGGAATAGTAACAACCATGATAGAAGAACAATTGCACATAACAAATCACCTGAAGAGAAAATTGCTGCTTCTTGTCCCAGTATAGAGCAAAAATTGGAGGACTCTGCTTGCTCACAGCCAGTACAAGAGCCCCTGGGTGAATAATTGCCGGAACACCTGATATCAGAGCAACATACTTTTCTGGGAACCTCTCTTTTGGTGGAAGAACTCCCAGAAATAAGGGATTTTTGCTGGACTGGGCACCAGAATACGAGGTAGGGTCAACATGAAGCATCCATTTTGGATGTTCAAGGAAAGCAGCAAACAGGTACAGAAGAAGGTGTGAGTCAGTAGGTAGCTCGGTGGTCCATTTCTTTTCTGATTTACCATAGCCATTTCCATGACCCATGTAATCATAATTCTTCAAGCATGTTCCTTCAGCAAGTTCTGCATTGAGATAGAAGCACACAAGTTATACCAGCACTAATTGAACAAAAGGCTCTGCAGTTGGCTACTTTGAGAAAAAGGCGAAAGCAAGATATTCACCTTGAACTCTCTGGACAGTGTAATCAGCACGGACGCTACTTTGTGGCAACAAGCCTTTTATCAGCTCTCCCTTCATCAGAGTGTTGAGCCTCTGATGCTCTGTAATTGCATCAATACATGCTTGAATAGCTGGAAGGAGGGGGTTCTGTTGTGGCTGTTGTGGACTGCCAAAAGTTTGCGCTGCACAAAGGAAATAATGACTAACAACTAAAGAAAATCTAAGGTAAACTTTAAGAAGTAGGTCAACTTCAACCACAGCACAAAACCCTTGTTACGTGTATTGATGAAAACACATGAAAAAACAAAAAACATTAAACCACATCAGGAAGTCAGGAACTCACCAACAGGGGCATCTCGAGAATGTAGGAGTGCAGAGCGTAATTGGTTAAGGATCCCATCCTCATCTACCGTGACAGTCGGTTGCCAATCTTTAGTCCCACCAAGAGGAGACAAGGCAACTGGTGGTGTTGTGCTTGGCAGATCGCTTCCAACTTGGCTAACAGTAACTGAAGCCCCAACAGTAGTTGTTGTTTGCTTAACCTACAACAGAGTGCACATGAAAGGAATATTAAAAAGAAAGATAACCAATATTAAAAGGCATAGAGATATAGGGTCATGTAAAAAGAATCCTAGAAATCTGCACCTGAGTATGGCTTGTTTTGATTTTTTGGACAAGTGGGTTCATCACAACTGAAGAAAACCACTGCCTGAGACTATCTCGCCACTGCTCAATCTCAGGATATACACCCAAGTTCTCAAAGGCCTCCACTGCATGCTCTAAGGACATTGGAGATGGAAGTTCACCCTCACCCTTTTTTGGTGGCGTGCTGTATTTCTGATGGGAGCCAGGAGACATCCTCACAGGTCTTAGAGGTGTGCTTCTTGCAGCACCAGATGGGGTGGTTGATGTGGTAATTGAAACAGGGGTAGCAACACCAAAGCTTGTAATGGTTGCTGGAGGTGTTGTGGTCTTAGTCTCTGGATCCGTGATTTTGTCAATATTTACATCCAAGCCAGCCAAGAACTGGTCCAGCATTGCCTCTGTCTGTATGCCCTTGGCACTGCCTGAGCTTTTCCTTGACCATGGAGTTGAAGGAGAAGAGACATGCTTCTGCAACGGTGTGGAGGGTGACATTGGCAATGCCGTGGTCAGTCTCTCACCACCAGGGCTCAAATGGCTGGAACCAATCCTAGATTGCCCCGAAGGCCGAGATGGTGTATAGCTGAACGAAGACCTCCTGATAGGCAAAATTGGCTCCGATGGTGTTGATGGCTTGTTCTTGGGAGGCCTTTTGGTTTGCTCACCTTTCCCACCTCCTTCTGAACCCGCCATCTTTAACCCAAGAAGCCCCAGTTGGCGTTCAGACAACACAACCTTGTCGTCCTTGGCCAGTGCCTTCTTCCCATTGTATAACATCAGTGCCCTGAAGAACCCCAACAGTGTGAAAAGCGCAACAAGACCCAGTGCTGCCTCCACCAACCTAAAGACAAAAACTGAAAGACCAAAACAGGTTAATGTTGGCAGATGCACCTCTAGCACAAGTGAACAACAAAAGTTCGCCATTTACATTTCATCATCTGTAAACATCCAGACCTGTTAAATGAGTCTAAAAATAGGGATTCGTATACAAATTGATGTGTGACAAACTATGGCGTTTCTGCAAACACTTGATGTGCAATGCAACCAATATAGGCGTGCCTGGCATTTTCACAAACACCTCACGCGCAACGGGGCAAAGCACAGTGCCACCACACCAAGCTTGGGATTCCCCAAACGCCAAACCAGCAGAGAGATAGGCGAACTTACCAGCAGCAAGGACAGAGATACCGGCTCGGCCGGCGAGCTTGATGAGCTGCTCCTCCCTGGAAAAGCACCAAGATACAAGAAGAGAATCCACGCATGGTTATGACATTGGGTTTAGGGTTTAGGTGCAGATATGAGAATGGGTGGGTATTAACGCTGCTTGGGCTTACCGGGAGGAGAGGGCGAGGAGGGAGGAGGCGGAAGCGACGGGTAAGACCGCGAGGACGAGGAGGACTTTGACGGAGGGGCGGGCGCTGCGGGAGTCTAGGGCCCGGGTGAGGGACGGGTTCTGGTACACCGAGAACATGTCCCGCGCCTTCCCGCCGCTGCCGTGATGGGATTCCATCACTGCTGCCACCGTGAGCTTCCTGCGTGAGGCGATTCGCGGCGGCGTCGCAGTCTGGCGGAGGCGTGCAGGGCTGCAGCCTGGAGGCACAGCGAGCGAGCTATTTGAAATCGGGAAGCAGCGGCCACCGGGGTTCGAATTCAAGGGGTGGCAAACGGGCAAACACACGAGTCCCAGACGGACACAGCGGCGGCCGGCGGCCCTGGCCAAGGCCCAAGGCCAAGGGTGAAAAAAATAAAACTCGCCGGCTCGCACTTCTAATAAAGTAATAAATAATAATACTCCTCAGTCCCAAAATATTATCTTACAGTAGCATTTTCCCTTTAAATTTATTCTAAAATAGTGATCGTTTACTTCACAATGCGCATTTCTCTTTTCTTAATACATTTTTTCTTTTTCTAACACATCTCTACCTCTATTTTAGAGGTACTAAAATCTTTTATTTTGAACATTGGTGTCTGTGATATATCCTAAAACGTTTACTATTCTGAGACAGAGAGTATAGCAATAGTAGCAAGCACCTGCCTAATGTCCAACTCCAACACCAGTCATGTGGCGTGTGGTTGTGTTTCTGGGAAGCACCAAGCACATCGAAGCTCATCCAAGCAGGGCATCGAGAGCGACGGACAACGACGTCCGCTCTCCGGCAAAAGGAAGTGTTGTCGTTGGAAGCGGTCCAACGAGAATGAACATTTGGATTTATTTGACAAAAACGATGGTATTTTGGTCATCTATAATGATATATAATGATATGCCGCAAAAATGAGAAAAAACGTCTTCGAAACTAACCAATGGTGCAAGTTTGATAGTTGGAACACCATAGATACATGTTTCAAAGTTAAAAGGGCAAAATCAAACTCAATATGATATACATCATGTTCGGGAGGCCGTATCGTATCGTGGATTATTTACTGCTGGCTGGTTTGGTGTGAAAGAAAAACACTGTTCCCGACTAGAAATTTACGATCGTTTACGAGCAAGCGAACAGGCTAATAGTTGATGTCAATCGTAGACTTCTCTATTAAATCAGCATATAGACTTGTGTGAGGATGCTCCGCCAACAAAGGAGTCAGTCTAAAGTCAGGAAAAATCCGCTATGAGAAGCTCTACCGAACGCCCTAAAAATATATATAAGTCATAGTGAAAACTATGTATTAAAAAAAAAACGTAGTATGTGCATATGAAAAGACCAACGACTAATAACAATTTAAAACAGAGTAGTATTTTTCTGATCCCCTTCGTCAATTTGAAGTTCTGATGAAATCTATCGTCTGATGCCGGAATCTCCAATCCATCCGTCGTGTGCTCGCTCAGTCCCTCTAGCCTTTTCCTTCTCCCTCACCACGCGGCTTCGCCTCCCTATTCTGGCACGTTCGTCCGGCTCAACGGACCACGACGCGTCCCGTCCCCCAACCCCAGCACCAGGCTCCAGCTGCAAACACGCGGAGGGCGCAAATCCCCGCGATCTCCACGCCAATCGGAGCAGCGAGCCGTCGCCGATAGATTCACCACCGGACCCCAATCCTAAACTTGCGCCGGGAAATCAAATCCTTCTCGATTCCTCCGCGACGCGGACCGCAAGGCGAGAGCGCGACGATGTCCGGAGCGGCGGACTACCAGGAGATGGCGGCGTCGGTGCCGCCCTCGCTGAAGGCCATCACGCTGACGTACGTCCGCTACCGCCGGGGCGACCCGCTGGGTCTCTTCCTCGCGTGGGTCTCCCTCGTCCCGGTTTTCATCAGCCTCGGCGGTTTCGTCTCCCACTTCCTCTTCCGTCGGGAGCTCCAGGGCCTCTGCTTCGCCGCGGGGCTCCTCGTCTCTCAGGTCCTCAATGAGCTCATAAAGGACTCCGTCGCGCAGTCCCGCCCGGCGTACTGCGAGTTGCTCGAGGCCTGCGACTCCCACGGTTGGCCGTCCAGCCACTCGCAGTACATGTTCTTCTTTGCCACCTACCTGTCGCTCCTGTCCCTCCGCCGGTCGCGCGCGCGCCAGGTGATCGCCGCCGTGCCATGGCCGCTTGCCTTCCTCACCATGCTGTCCAGGGTCTACCTAGGCTACCATACCGTCGCGCAGGTGAGAGCCCCTGAATTTCGGATCCGATCTGACTAGATGTGCTTTTTGTTCAAAAATCTCCTGCCTCACTTAAAGTCTTAAACTGTGGTGCCATGTGACAAATGAAATGGAAAATTCGAAACCTTGAAATTTTGCTACTTTAGACTTTTTTATGAGGGTGCGGTTTCTTTGGTTTGAAGTGAAAGTTCTCTATGATTGAAAATTCACGTGTGTTTACTAAGGAACGTAGGACAGAAGTACTAAAGATCAGCAGTATGACAAAGTGACAACAAACCCTTGTAGTCCCAGCAAGTTAGACCATGCCACCATGGAAACTACTCTCTCCATTTAAATTGTAAGTCATTTTAGTTTTTTCCTAAGTCAAACTTGTTTAACTTCGACCAAATTTATAGAAAATATATTATCTACAGTATCAAACAAATGATCTATCAAAATATGTTTATGGCGTATCTAATGAATTTGTTTTATGTTGTACATGTTTGTGCATTTTTCATATAAAAAAATAGTCAAAGCTGGAGAAGTTTGTCTTATGACAAAGCTAAAACGACTTGTGATTTGGAACTGGCAAGTTAGACCATGGCACTTTCCATAACCATGTTATTTGTCCTAACCTTAGCTGATGGAAACAGAAAATCAGATGCGTTAAGAACAGTTTCGAAGAAAGCTGCTGCAGAAAGTTAGTGAGTCGTGTTTGAGGGGAAAAAATGAGTCAACACTGGTTTACTATCCTGAAGGAAAACTGTGAAAGGATAATCTCCATAATAAATATATATGAAACGAGCATCCAAATTCTAGTAATTCGTTGTTTAGGTCAGAATCATGAATTGTCTCCCTGTTTTTTTCTGGATACAACCGTGCATGTATACCCAATTGAATGCATTTATCTGTATTGAGAAGTTCTTATGTCTTCTTCTCTCAAAAAGCTGTGTGGCATTTGTTTCTGCGGGTGTTTAACAGTGCTTAACTCTGTATCAATCTACTTAGCATTAGGTATCATTTAGTGAGATGTCAATAACAATGTATTCATTTACATCGTTACCTGCCTCAAAAACCTGCTTATTTGAAAGAGAAGTGGTTCGATGTGATTGTTCTTATTCTAGGCAAAGTGTGGCACATAGCTTCTCAAAACTGAAATGAGTTTCAATTGATAAATTTCATCAGGTTTTCGCGGGAGCAGTAGCGGGCCTCGTGTTTGGTGCTATCTGGTACTGGATTGTCAATACCATGCTTGTTAATTACTTCCCAATGATTGAGGAGAGTGCAATCGGGAGGTGGTTGTACATCAAGGATACATCTCATATTCCAGATGTGCTCAAATTTGAGTATGATAACGCAAGGGCAGCAAGGAAGAAAGTTGCTACTGATTGAGCTTGTAAGTCGAGCATATTTAATTGTGTTTGTCTTGTTTAGCAGATATTGTGCATTCATGAAGTACTGTACCTGCAAACCGCAGCTACTTTTTCCCCCTTATACTAGACGCTTTTGATTGAAAACCCACAATTCCTAGTCCTCCAATCTTTCAAATTCTTGTTCCGAATGTTTTGCTGAATGCCAATTTAGTCGTGAACATGCTATTCTTGATATCATTGGAATTAGCTAGATACATTGGAAGTTATTGTTAGTCCCATTTGCAACTCCAAAAATCATCGTCATGTATCAAACTCCAGTCTATCAATATATTGGTTTTACGATACAAGTTAAATACCTACATCAAGGAGTATCGCATTATCAAATTTTGCCTATCAAACTTCACCTCAGTTTACCTTCTACCATTTCAATTATTTTCACATTATAGTCTCTATTTTTTTTCTGGCAACTAAATTAGTTGAGCGTTTACCATGTGACAATTACTTAACCTCAACCTTTGAACTGTTCTTCATATTTTCTTATGTCTATGCAGGTTATGCTTCTGGATTGCATTTTTCTGTTGTTAAGGCGATTATAAGAATATGTGTGGCATGATATTTCCTTCAGTTATGCTACACGCGGGCACATCTGCACATGTAGCAGCAACATTCAGTAGAAGAAATGCTCACTAGAACTTGTTGGATTTAGCTCTTCCTGGGCATACGCCACTTTTTTTCCCCCTTATTAGACACTAGTCAGACATTATTTTATTAAAGGTTGTTCGATTATAACTTGATAATTGCTTACATTTGAAAAATGACGTGAACAAATACGTGAGCTCATCTCTGCAGTCTAGCGTCCATACTTCACTGTTCCGTTGGTTCTCTGTATATGTAAGTCAACTGCATTTTGTGTTGAAACATGAAGAATACAGGAATGATGGATCATTTCCAGAATTTTGGACAACAAAGGATAACTCATTAGACTACCGTCTATCCAAACTAAAAGATGTTTTAGTTTTTAACATGATAGTTAAGAGAAAGTATGGAACAAAATGGCCATTTATTAAGGCCAAAACGGGAACAAATGATCAGGGGAATCAACACACCCGCAATGTAACAGCCTTTGTCTCGAACGAAAACAAGAAAAAGGAACGGCCGAGAGCTGAGTGTGTAACAATACCGAGTTACTTGTAGAGGAATGCACCTCTAGGCTACAATCTCAAAAGGCCTGAGATGGACAGTAGGTAGACAGCTGAGTGTGTGTTAAATGTGCCCAGAACTCCCGCAAACACAAGCAAAACAGGATATAAGTAACATGCATTTCTCAGGCTTCAGAAATCTCAGCAAGCTGTAGCTGGCACCAACGGTATATTGACAAGCACACCAAGCACAAAGTGCTAAGATTCTTGACTTGTCGCTGATACATCTTCTTGGCTAGAAGGGGCGTCTGGAATACTGGCGGAGGGGCCTTGTTTCCTTTCTGCCTGCAGTGATCGACACAGGGATTCAAGCTTCTCCTTTTGATTTTTCAACTTCTCTATTTGCTTCTTCGTTAGCTCACGCTGCAGAGGCATCGCAAATGGGTCGAAGTTAGCAAATACCACTTATATAATGCAGGATCAACTGGCACAAGATTTTCCTAGTATGCATATAAAGACAAATGTCACAAATCTAACTCTATAAGCTAGAGAACTGGTCCTAATTTTTCAAACACAATGTACTGTGCTAAGAAGGCAGGCAGGTATAGTTGTCAAAACTGTGGTCTCAACATAGCAACCTGGTTTAGTACAGCTAGGAGATAGCTTTTGCAATGCACACATTACCTCTTCAATGAGCTTCACAAGAGCAATATCTGAGTTCTCGCATTTTCCCTTCAGAAATTCATTCTCCTTCTTAAGATTCTTTATCACCGAAATCATCTGATGAAAAAGATCATATGAGACTTTTACTTCAGTCAACAACAACTGTTGACAAGTAAAGCAGATACAATGATATTGAACATTATGTAGAGCATACCTTTTCCATCTCCTGCTTGTAAGTTTCAAAGACTTCATTGCTTTTTGACAGGGCATCCTGATAAAGCAACAACAACATAAAGGTATAACAAAAAAAAAGGATTAAAGTGCTTCCCGTGCTCAAACTTTTAAACCTTCACCTACAAGGGCAAAAATGGCCACTACTAAAGCGGGTAAAGTGCACGAGTAGTTTTACATTTTTCGTTGGGTTTCATATCTAACCTACACCAATTTGATTTGGACCAAAGCCACATGTTGTCATTATCGTCGTCAGTTCGTCACCTATTGGGGGACCATTTGGAACCTGGAAATGGTCTTAGAAGTGAAAGTACCTGAAAGTGCTGAAATCTTTCTCCATCAGAAGCTAGTTGCAACCGCAGGTTCTTCTCAGTAGTCATAAGCTGAGAAACTTGCTCAGCATACAACTGCATTTGGGTATGTTCCTGAGCAGCCTTCTCTTGATGTTGTTGAAGTCTCAGATCAGCAAGCTCAAGCTCCAGCGTTTTCTCTTTCAACTATACATGCCATAACAAGTTAACCAAGAGCACAACAAATAGCATTTAAAACTAGTAAGAACAATATTGTCATACAAATATCAATGAGACTTCAAGATCTATTAATATAGGATATAGATAGCATACTTGGTGAGCATATTTCTGCTGAGTAATGTCATATTGATCAGCAAGGTCTTTGAGTTTACTTCTCAACCTACAAAAGCAACAAGTGTCAGTGTACCGGACTAGAAATGTCAGAAGGCACTTTAACAATGAGTTGATACCAAAATCAACTAATGGAACTCCTAATATTCAAGATATGAATAAGGTTAGTATATTACATATTGTTCTCTTCTAGCTGAGCAATGGACAAAACTCTCTGCTCCTCAAGCTTGGCACTGACACCCTACAAAAATATATCATGAAAATTTGATAAATAAGAGCTAAAACTTAGACATACAAGCAAAAACAAATGAAGGAGCTTGTATATGTTTATCATATATCATAATCAGATGATGTATTTTGAGCTGTCAACCTTTATGGCATTATCAAATTTTTCAGACAATTCCATACGCATGTTCTGTCCCTCCGTCGATACCCTTCTGCACTCTTCCTGAGACAAAGATGCTAAAATGGTATAATAATTGAACAAAAATGAAAAGAACTCTTTTATACCACTTTGATTCAAAGTTCAAATACACTGAACATACCTTTAGCATTTTGTTTTGACGCTGAAATTCCCTACAAAGAGATTCTAGTCTTTCTTTGACTGCAATGGCTGCAAGGACCCAAATATAAATGACAAATGTTAAGTAGATGAATTCTATGAGCACAATGTGCACGCACCAGTTCATATGCAACAATCAAACTACACATAATTTTTAGCGACACTGGATTATCTATGCTAATAAGAAGTTTTAATTAACATCTTAATACATGGACATACAGGGTCATCCATTCCACCAAAGAAACACACATGTTTTGTCGGCGAAGATATAAAGGAGAATCACAAAGGGAGGCATGCACTCATTAAATTCAACTGTATAACGATCACATATTCAAGTAATAAACTAACCTGCATCCCTTTCTGCAACCACTCTGTGGTATTGCTGGGCCAGTTCAAACAAATCTCTGTCCTTCTCGAGCTTGCTACGCTTCACGACCTTGCGTTTCGGCTCACCGCTCCCCTACAAAAGCAAGCAAATCAATCCCAGTTCACAAAGACAAATTCTTCTTGCAAACGCTTATATGATACTATGTGATAAACAATCTTGACCACCTTTTGAGCAGTTGGAGCACCCACTTGCTCTGATGCGCAGTTCTCGTTCAAGGATTCTTCACCTGTCAAAAGGAACAGCGAAACATGGTAAGGAAACACAGCCCCTAAGGTACATTTGGAGCTCAAACTCCACCGTGATGAAAATCTTAATTTTTCTATGTTTACACTGAACCGCTAGAGGAATGGCTGTCATTCTGAAATAGTAACTAGGATCAGGAAGCTCATGGTGAATGAAAAAATAAAATCGAGAAAGGACTACAGAGGATCACCTCTTGAAGCGCCGGCGGGTCCGTGCTCCCCTAGAGCGCGTTCCGGCTCCGCAGCAGCGGCCAGAGAAAGTGTGCCCAAGGCTTCAGCAGCGGCGGCCGAGGAGGCATCTTCGGCGGTGGACGCAGGAAGGGAGGGATCGCTTAGGGTTTCCTCACCGCCGGGGTTGGTGGCGGCGGGGATATCGGAGTCGAGCGCATCATCAGCGATGGGCGCGGAGGAGGGAGAAGCCGCGTCCGTGCCTGAGCTCTCGACGTCGGGGACGAAGCCGTCGGGGAGGGAGTTAGCCTCCGGGAGGCGCGTCATCGGCGAGCCTTCCATTGCGCGTGTGCCACTGCGATGCTCTCCTCTCTCTCTTTTTAGGGCTTTATTATGGGGAGAAAATGGAGAAGTAAGTGCTGGGAATGGGAGTGCTGCGAATGGGAGTGCTGCGAGGTGGACGCCGGTGCCGCTGCCTCGCTGAGCAGAAGCTGCTCGCAACCGCCGCGTCCTCCTCTCCCCGAATTCTCTCTTGTTCGGGAGGTTTTGGGGGGAGGAATGTCTGGGACCCTCGTTTAGTTCGGCGCGGAATCGGCGCCGTCAGAGTTACTGTAGCCACAGTAACTACTGTAGCGTTTCGTTTGTATTCGGTAATAATTGTTCAGTCGTTTGCATTGCAAATTAAATTCGTTAAAAACTAAACTTCTGCTTAGTTTTTAATTTCTCAACATTTAATATTCAATTATCTGCAAATTTAATGTGACCTCCCTCTTATTTCAAACCAAAATATTTGGAGAGAACTAAACAGGCACGGGGACTCTGGGGGTTGCAAGCAGCAAGCCTGATGCGTAACGCGAAGGTCTAGCTAGTAGCTAGGGTCAGTCCATTGCACGCAAATGAATTCGTTAGAAATCTTCTCCTAGACTCCTACAATTATCACTTCCCTCCATTTCAAACCAAAGCATATTTGTGACAAAACATTTCTTCAGCGATTTGAACTTTGAATAGACCGAACATGATCGTTTACGTAAACGATCGTAAATTTCTAGAACAGTATTTTTCTCTCACACCAAACCAACCAAACCAGCCAACAGTAAATAATCCACGATCGTTTACGGCCTCCCGAACAAGCTGATGGAGTCATTAGCTAGTACTCCATTTATTTTTAACTGATGCTACCCGTTAGCCTGTCCTAAACGTCAGTCTGTTCAAAACTGTTGGCTTATTCGTCGATGGTTCGTGAGAAAGTACTGTTGGCTGGAGTGGTGGTTTGTGTGCGAAAAATACTTTCCTGACCGGAAACACTGTTCACGTGAACAGTGACCGCGTGGGAGCGCTGGCCAGCCAGCCGAACAGGCTGACGTGAGACGGCGCTGCGTCAAGCCAGAGTTTTGCTGCGTCGAACCAGTAGTTGATAGTGTACGACGGGGGTATTTCCTCAAGAAAGGTGATCAAATAGAGCAGAGGTCTGTGAGGACTCGCTGCTTGCTCAGTTCAACAGATATATATGGAAAGATTCTACGTTTACATGTTCAACCACCGATTTGCTCAGCTGTAGCACGGCGCTCCTCCCGTGTCTGCAGAATTTGTGGAAGAGGAGCGGTAATTTTTACCATCTGCATAGCCGGCCATGGTAAGCGCAGAGTCAATACAAGGAGTGGAGCAGTAGTTACAATAATGCCAATTAAAAACATAAAAAAAAACTACTTATAGTTTCTCTTTCTTAAAGCTAGGCCTATAGTAAAAAATCATTACATTTATTGCTTCTTAATGGAATGAGAGTTCATTTTGCTGGTCTAAATTCTAGGGGTTCCTACCTTCTGTTAGATCTGCAGTAAGAGCAGTTTACAACAAGAGTAAATCTTACTTTTTGCCTCCCTCGAATACATAGAAGAGGAACCTTTTTTAGGGAGCTATTATTATCCAACAAGTCCAAAATTCAGTTTTTTTTTCATTGACCTCCTGTCATCACCTTTTTAGACCTTAGCATGACAGTGCTATATATTATCTTATGGACAAAAATAGTGCAGACTATAAGTTCATGTCCAATTCAACCCATGCATTTTATTTAGTGCCTCGGGAAGGCAGGTTGATAATACCTGCCCGAGATTAGATATAGGTTTAATCACCTTATTGGTTGTTGGGTGGCAAAGAACAAGCCAATGTGCATGTAGGTGATACCCGCAGTCCCCAGGAACAGGTTGCAAAGGTCTCTCATAACCTCTAATAAGAGCAAGAAAGGTCAGTTGAACTAAATACAAGAAGCATCCAAAGAGGTATCTCAATGGAAACGAGAGATGAAAGAATTACCCATCAGATGCAAAAGAACTATCTGTGCCAGTAGATTCTGGCTCAACAAATTTGGGGTGCCCACCAATACCATAGAGAGGATCATCTGTTGGTGCAAACAGAAAAATATACATGAGTTCAAATTACAGCTGTTAGAAATTTATGTTTGATTTGGATAGTAGGGCCGCCTACCATTACTTAAAAAAAGACATGTACTGATAAATACAAAAGTATTTCATCCCTGGATGTGAAGATGAGTTTTGCCAAGTGCATTAATTAAATAAGTAACTCAAGAAATGAATTTTTAAGTAGAGTGAGCGAGGGACTTGCCTACAAGAGGGTGCCCAATGTATGCAAGGTGTATCCGTATTTGGTGAGGTCGTCCTGAATGAATTTCAACCTACATCAATGAAGAAAAGGAAACATCAAAGATTAAAATACCCAAGGCAGCAAACAAAAACTTGCCAGCATACATACTCGCAATTAAAAGCACATGATGCTATGCACATTTGTGAACATGTAAGAGCAGGAGCTAAAACATATATCTTGTTTACAGTCAAGAGTCAACACACCCTACCTGGACCAGTGTGTGATTTTGGTGTGCAAGTCTCTCAAGAACACATACTTTGCTCATTGCTGGCTTTCCTGAAAATCGATGGCACAAGATAACATAACAAACAAAGAGAACCAATGATCAAAATTTACTCGATAGGAATTATATCAACAGTACTGTGATTACCCGACCCCCAAGGACCTTCACCAATTCCAAGTTACAGTATTACAATTGCAATACCTGAGGAACATGCCGCATAAAGTCCCTCTGCAACTCCAGGATAATGAACTAACCCTATGGGTTGCGTAACCACAACCTACATGTGTGATAAAAATAAATTACATGAGAGAGAGAGATCGTGCATACAATACAAGATTATAACTAGGTATGCAAGACTAACTGAGGGAAAAACAGGGGGTCATAACCTGAACAGCATATAAGAGATCAGATCAGCGTATCAAATAAGTAAGGGATACTACCTCATCATCATCAAGTATGCCAGTCACTAAGGCTCGATAAAATTTTGAAATTTTTCGCTCTTCACTGAACTCTGATTTATCCCTATAAATCATCTCAATCACTTGAACTGCATACATGATGTGAATACTTGAAAAAAAACTTTTAAAATTAATGAGAAGTTTTTACACCTTTTCTTTGCAGCATTTATAGCACCTTCAGCAAAATAAGATGCAAGTTGAACTTTGGCAATCTTTGTCTTGGCACAAAGCAGGAGGCCTAGCAAAATAATATACAAGTCAGCATAGCTAGCAAGAACAGACATTATAAACTACAAGCAAAGCAAATTCTCCTCTAATACAATGAGGCGCAGCTCTCCTGCTTGTTCTAGGAAAACAGGGCGTACCCAGTGCAGAGAGCTCCCGCTCTGTGCGGGGTTTGGAGAAGGGTGTCAGTGGCAAGCCTTACCCTCGCCTGTGCAATGCGAGGAGACCGCGACTCGAACCCGGGACCTTCCGGTCACAGGCGGTAAGACTCTACCGCTTGCACCAGGCCCGCCCTTCTTGTTCTAGGAAAACAAGCAAAGAAAATTACAGATGAGCTTATACTGAATGACCAGCTTTGGCTAAACAACAATTTTTTTTGGCAATACACATTATTGCAGAAAACGGTTGGTTACCAGTGGAACGAACATGCAGACCTTTCTGTCTAAACAAGTGGAAACTCATCTTGTAGTGGAAATGTGGATCATGGAAACAAGCATCCTAGGTCATCTAATCAAGGTTCATGCCTCCCACGATCCCCCCACCCCACCCAACCCACTCAGCAACCACAAACACATGCAGCTCTTGGAACCAGCATGACTTGAGCATCAGTATTATCTCGCACATGGGTTCCCACAGTCAACCATGGCTATTATCGCTCCTCTCTCCACCTTGTCCCTGTCACACATCATAGTTACCTAAAAAATTCTCATCACCATGTTCATGGCTCCCTGATGTGCCATGACTTGAACTTCCCTCATATTACTTGATGGTTTGAACATCAGCTTTTTGGAGAAACTAAGGTATCTTTCTCCTAGATTCTTATGTTCATGCAGCAGAAGCTACAAAAACTTACACCTACTAGACCTCAAGTGAGTGTCAGTGAACCGGAGTTTCTGAGGAGTGAGGACTGAGTTGTAAAAAAAGAAACAAACCTGATGTTCCCCTCCCTAATCGATGAACAGGTACTGGATGTGACTGCACATCTTTTCTCTTCGACCGGCAAGATGAGGCCATCTTCCAGTCTTTCAATTGAAGCTGTGCTAAAACAGTGCGCTGCTGAAAGAGTCCTTTAGGCAGAACTTGCAAGCCAGAAGGCTTATTAAGGGCAACCTGACAAAACATTCTCTGGCTAAGATTCATAGTTCTAAATGTAAAATTGGAAATTAGCTTCATGTGCTATTACAGATTTTGGCAAACATGCACAAGAACAGAATAAACCTTACACCTTATGAAAATGGATAGTTGGAAACGACGGGTGTCTGGATCCCCAGCAATAACTATCCTGGACCTTATGACTGAAGGTTGCTATTTTGCAAGACTAGAAAATTCTGGCTTTTGAAGGCAATCTATCCTGTAACAGCAAGAAACGGCTTGCTTGGCTCTCCATCAGTGGCAACTGGCAGGCAGGCAGTTGCATGGACAAGGTGCTTACGGCTAGCTTGACCTAGCCTAGCCTACGGCTAGCTTCATCTCTGAGCAAACAAACGCAATACCTTGCTTACGGCTAGCTTGACCTAGCCTAGCTAGACAAGGTGCACTAGTGATCCAAGTGTACGCAATACTTGCAAGTTCAAATTAGTTGGGTGCTCACAAGTCGGACAACGACGACAATAACAAAGCACGTAAGTTGGGGGTAGGCTAGAGATGAAACCCAACATGAGCCACCAAAAAAAGGAAAAACTAAGGCATTCAAAATCTAATTCATAGTTCATGCACATGGATATTCATAAGTCAATAAAGTTAAAAACTTAAGTCCATATCTTCCAGTCCTCAGATAAGCATAGACTAAAAATTAGATGGGACTTGAAAGTTGAACCTTGCAAATCAGCTCGGGGCATGAAATGTGAAACATAGACCGAATTTACAGAACAATTTTTATCTCACAAACTGATAAATAGCACCAAGGTCATTTGCATACCATGTCATCATCCTCGTAGAGCACTTCCAGCAAATATGGCGCAAATGGCTCCTGCCAGGGAAAACGATGATATACCAACTTAGAACCATCCCTGCAAAACAGAGTTAGCTTAGGTACCTGTCATATTAATAAGATTTATGAACTCCTTTGAAACAATAAATACAGAACCAAAGGAAATAATCGAATGCAATTGGAGATTTGGAAGAATATAACAATAATAAGCTTGCTGAGAGAAAACTACCCCAGAGTCACATCTGGATCAGTGACAACTTCACCATCAACGGTTATCTGCAAACAAACTGAAACCTTCATTTGAACATCCAAGAAAATTTGCCAGAAATTCATAAATTATCTCATTTTCCAAAATACATGTGACATTTTTTTTAGAACTCCCTTCTAAAAGCAGACGAATCACCATAGCTCAGGTACAGATAGCACCAAATAGAAGATCAGTAAATTTTCACTAAATCCCCAATTTTCCTACCTGTCCGTTACGAATCCTCTTGATCCACCTGCGGAGCACACCACCACCATCATTAAATCAACAAGAAAAACCATCAACTGATCACGGAAGTCAGGAATTAAGCGTAGCAGATAGGCACTTGCCCTGGCAATGGCGCTGAGCTCTTGTATTTAGTAGAGTAGAACTCAATCAAGGTGGTAGCGGCGTCCGCATCTGCTTGCAAGTAATCAGAACAAGTACCAAACAACAAACCAGAGGGAAGGAGATAGGGAGGCGAACCAGCGCAACGGAACGTGTCGGTGTAGGTGAGGCCTTGATTGAGCTCCGGCCACAGCGCTCCGAAGGAGTAGAGAGCCCCTGGCGGCGGAGCCCCGTCGCCCACCGGTGTTTCTCCCGCGGCGGCGGCCATCGCGCTGGGGAAGAGAGGTTTAAGAGTACATTTGCAGATAAGTCCATCAAGTTCTCCGTTCTCTTTACATAGGCCACGTCCACAACTTTTGGCATCGAGTGCAGGTGCAGCAAGGACAGACGGACACGGGTATCTCATTTACTATAACACGAGGGCAGTGAAATGAGACATCGAAATGGAAATCTGATACAGTAGCAAAGTTCAAACTATCTTCAGCGAAGAAATCTAATACACAAAATGCGATTGTCCACTTAGAATCTGTTAACAATTTATTAATTCACGTTAGTAGCATCAAAAAAATTCTCAGCAGAGTAACAATACAGGCATGCCATTTCTCTACAAGCCGTTCGCTTCGCTGAAAAAACAAACCGAAACACTGTTCCGACTGATTTGTTGCGAGAGAAAAACACTGTTCCGGCTGAAAAAAGCAATCCGAAAAAGCGGATTATAAAAAGACGGATTATAAGAGAAACGAACATGGTCTCGTAATTGCTGTTGCTACAAACACTGATTCCTACAACTCAAGGATCCTCGTGCCAATTCTCTACAGCTGGTGGCTTACAGAGCAGAGTTCTAATGATGATGATGGGTCATTCCTCTTCTAATTTCAAACTTGAATCATCTCCATACATTCATACAAAATTTGTGGCAAGACGAGCCGGCGAAAGTATCAAGACACAAACATCCACTTGACGCACTGGTAAATGATGTTCAGCTTCACTTATTTCTCATTGGGTCTTGGGATGGGCTTGTAGTCGTAGCTGTTTATGTCAACCTTTTGCTGCAAAGCCTGTGAATGCGCAAACGGCTAACTTAGAGTCAAAGCAGACGTGCATTTTCTACATAATATGAATGCAGCATACCTTCAGTTCATCCTCTAGAGAGAGCTTCTTAGGCTTATAGGCTCCTTCCACTGGCCCTGTTCGGCTGAGAGCTTTTGTTGTTTCTACAACCTCCCATTCTATATCCTCCTTTTCCTTTGTCACTTCTTTGCTGCAAAAGTACAAATCAACCAGCATTGTCAGATAGGTGAAGACCAAAGGAATGCACAACAGACTAGTTCATGTGATTTAGGCAAAGTGCAGAAAGGTTTTAATCATTTACCTGCCTTGTATAAGATGAGCAAGCCCGACGGCACCAAGCACTGTCAAGGAAATGAGTGGTAACCCATACCGAACAAATGGATGTTTTCGCCCCCACCTTTTGAACTGTGAGGCTTGCTTCAAAACCTTAGCATCTTGTTCCACTGGATCAACTTTCTGAGTTGTATTCATGATCGGCTGACAAGTAAAGAAGGAAAATGAGAGAGAGCAAACGACATTCATATCATGGATCCTCTTGTTGCATAGTACTAGGTAGCGTGGTTGTAAAGAACTTCTCATTCATTCATACTGTCAGATGCTACCGCAAGAAGCCTACGCATGTCATTTATAAACAAAACAAAAAAAACATACCGAAATTTTACACAGCAACATGCACAACTTATTCGTGGGGAGTCAATTTAATCCTTTAGACCTGAAGCATATAACATAGCGAAAGGGCTGGAGGAAAATAATTTTATGTGATAACTGATAAAAGCGAAACAGGACTTTTCACATAACTGAGTAACTGACACGTTTGAATGGTAAAGCAGCACAAAATTAAGACTTCCAGTGGCGGAGCCAGTATTTTGCATCAGGGTATTCCAAGAACAATTTTTTCGCCTCCAATACAGCAAGAAGCTGATGTGGAGATAACCGAGGATGTGAACTTTCACCTCTTACAGTCAGAAGACGACGGGTCCGAGCGGCTGAGCCGGATCCCGGAGGCTGGAGGGCGGACGTTCGGACTGACAGACTTGCTTGCCTCTGCGCCTGAAGTCTGAGCTGCTGGGTGCTGCCGGCTAGCCGCCGCTGTCACTTGCTCCTGCACTAGGGAACACCGGCCTCGGCCGCTCGGGGAATCGGGGGCTGCGATAGGATGAACGACGTGTTTCTTTTTCCCTGAAGACCTGAATCACAGCGATATGACCGGGGAAATCACGGCAGGATGAGTTAGCGCCAGAGACGGAAAAGAAGGGCGTGGCAGGGCGACGACGCGGTGGAGAGACTTACCCTAGTCGCAAAGAACGGGACGGTGGAGACGCGGGGACTGCAGCTCGAGGTCGCCGGGGCCGACGGCCTCTGGCGTCGGCGGCGGCTTTCCGGACAGAATGGATCGAGTGGAGAAGAAGGCCTATTGTTGATGGTGCGGAAGATCTGGGCCATTAGATTACACAGATGAAAGGCCCAAAGAAAGAACGTTTTGGAGGCCCAAAAAAGAACCGTTCTGGAGGCCCCAAAAAGAGGGAATTCCTCGTGAGCAATTAAAAAAATCGCAATCCCATGTGAGCCACTGGAAAAGTTCAGCGGACTTCAACGTCACTGCTTCAACTTTTTTTTACCCTCCATGCCACTACCGTCAGATTAGGCTCTAACGGTGTCAAACTACAGGTGTGAAAAGTCGAAAATACCCTTATGTCTAAATATGTCATTAACTTTTTAGTATCTTAACGACTTCAAATAGAAAAACTCAAAACTAGAAAGTTGTAGGTCTCGTCGAGATCTATAATTTCCATATAAAAATTATCTTCATTTAATACCGCAAAAAAGATATGATTTTTCTAAGATATATTAATCATATTAAATCATATCTTTTTTGCGAAATTAAATGAAGATAATTTTTATATGAAAATTATAAATCTCGGCAAGATCTACAGCTTTCTAGTTTTGAGTTTTTTTATTTTAAGTTGTTAAGATGCTCAAAAAATTAATGACATATTTAGACCTAAGGGTATTTTTGATTTTTCACATCTACAACTGACACCGTTAGAGCCCAATATGACGACAATGGCATAGAGGGCATAAAAAAGTTGGAACAGTGGTGCTGAAGTCCGCTGAACTTTTTCAGTAGCTCACGAGCAATTACGATCTTTTTTAATGGCTCACAAGAAATTCCCCCCAACTAGAAAGGGCTATCATTCTCAAATAAAAAAAAAAATACCGCCCTGAACTATCCTCAAAGTCTAGTTTTCCACCATAAACTTCAAAACCGGATAAACCACATCCCTCAACTTCTAAAACCGTTCATTTTACCTTCTTGACCTGGTTATATGTGGTTTTCAGAGACGGTTTTGCCTTTTTATTTTTTATATTATTTCGGTGGAATCTTTGAAAAATCAGAGTAGATCACAGAAAAATCATAAAATGAAAATTCTAATTTTTTTGACTCCACACGAGTATATCTACACAGTAAACATATTATATGGTATACTTTAGTACAAAGTTTTTGTTGTAGATTTAGATCTATGCTTTTCTGTAATTAATTCATAGCTGCAGTTTCTATGGTCTAATTGTGGTAAATTTTTTATGGTGGTCTAATTATTGTATGATTTAATTCTAGTAAAAATTTCATACTCATTTATATTTTTACACGCTTTTAACTATTTTAAAACTATTTAATAAGCATAAAACTGAATAAATCTATAACTCAGTTATATATGATCCAATGAGCTTAAAATTTTTAATAAAGTTCAATCATACAATAAATAGTCGACCATAAAAATTTCACCACAATTGAACCATAGAAACTGTAGCTATGAATTAAATACAGAAAAGTATAGATCTAAAGCTACAACAAAAACTTTGTATTAAAGCATACCATATTATGTGTTCACTGTGTATATCTCCTCATGTGGAGTCGAAGAAAATTGGATTTTCGATTTTATGATTTTTCTATAATTTACTATGATTTTTCAAAAAAGATAGCCAAAATAAATAAAAACAAAAAAACAAAATCGCCTTTAAAAAGCACCTATAACCGGGCTAGGGAGGTAAAACGAATGGTTTTCAAAGTCAAGAGAGGTGGTTTATCCGGTTTTAAAGTTCATGGAAAAAACTAGACTTCGATGATAGTTTAGGGAGGTAAAATGGATTTTTTCCAAAAAGGAAAAAGGGGGCTGTTAAGAAGGTCTAGCCTCCATAGTATGGGCCTGCTGTTCAAGCGGGCCAAAGATGACAATAGCGTTGGCTAACTTCGCATGGCCCATTTCTTAGTGGAAAGTGTCCATTTGCCCTTCCTGACTCGCCTCTCCCAATAATTGAAAAAAAAAATTTGCTCAAAAAAATAATAGAAGAAAACCTCGCCTCTCCCAATCGAAAACCATTTTCTTAAGGGCTTATTTAGTTGAGCTAGGTAGTTAGGCTAAAAATTAGCAGCTAATATTAGCTTATTCCTCCGTTCCAAATGATAAGTAGATACGTAGCAAAATATATTTTTTTGCTACGTATCTATATAAGTCTAGATACGTAGCAAAATAGATGAATCAAAAAGTCAAAAGCGACTTATAATTTGGAACAAGAGAGTAGATATTAGCTAACGACTAGTTGAACGCTTGGCTAAACAATTAGCTTACCTAGCAATTAGCTCTTGCTATCCAAATAGCCTCTAAAACTATTTGTTGAAAATCATTTTTATTTTATTTTGCTCCCTCTACGGTTTTAGTAGGGTCAACAACCAGTTTGTAGGCTCTGTCTGTTGAAACCATTTGATTTTGATCCTTCAACGGTTTTGACACGTGACACCATGTTGGCCACGCTGAGGGAGCAAAAATGGATGGTTTCAAAAGAATAGAGAGATAAAAAAACTAGTTTCCAATTGAGGAAGACGAATTGACTTTGATGAAAGTTGTGGGTAGTCAAAGGAACTTTTCCCTTTGAGTGAAGTCCTAACCTTCTAAATCTGAAGAAAACCTCAACTCCATTACCAGAATTCATACATCCTCTAACTTTCGAAACCGAGAAAAATACCCTCTGACCATTTTAAAGTGGTTTTTTACGTGGTTCTTATCTGTTTTAAAAGTTTTTGTAGTATTGAAGTTGAGAGGTTTTCAGACAAGGTGACAAGTTGGGGGAGGGGGTTCAAATACTCAATAGACTTCCCTCTTTCCTTAAGCGACGAGAGGTAGGGATCAAAACGGTCGGGAAAATCCTCTAACCATTTTTTTATTTCATATTTATATATGGAAATAGAATCGGGATATCGAGAACAATACAATGCGGTCGGATACACGTCGATAATGGTCGGGAACGGTAAATTAAATCGGAAACAGAGGTGAAGCACGGGAAGAATGAATAAAATTTTGAAACGTAAGCCTTCAAGGCTTCCTATCCGCATGGATGGCGAGCGTCCCTTCACTATTTGCACAATTTGGTAAACGGCCCACTGCAGCCCACGATGTCAACACCACAATAGCAAGTTGCAATGTAAATAGCACCACATCGCCTCCCCAAGTGAGCGGCAGAAATTGCGGCGCTTTTAAAATAGCGAAGGCACTAGCTGCTGGTACAACATTTTGGGTAAGTGCGGTACTCTCCCGTGGGAGTGTTGCCGCTGAAATACGGGGTCCGCGAAAACGGTCTCGAAAATTATGGGAGAACGATGCCGCTAAAATACGGAATCCGCGAAAACGGTCTGGAAAAATACGGGATCTGTTAAAACGGGAGGGAAAACAGCTACCCAAATTCGTTCCTGTTTCTACCAAATTTTACCCAAATTGGTTCCTGTTTCTACCAAATTTTCCCGCGAGTAAATGGTGCTGATCGGTATTGGGAGTTTACCGTACCATTTTCATCCCAAACGAGAGGACAGGACAGCCCGTTGCTCCCTTCGCTTGTATTTTTTCAGCCTCATCTCATCCCAAACTCATCGGCCAAGCGAACAGGGCACGCATCTCATCTCAAAACACTCACACAGTATGGCAGCAGCACAGCACATCCGTCAACTGCCAGCTGACAAGTGCACCGGCAGCAAGACACGAAGGCATTACTGACCTTAAACTGGATTGGACTATTGCATCATTGCCATAAAGCCTTAATAAAGGAACAAAATTCAGCTGAGGGCGCAAAAGTGCAAAAAGAAGCCTATAACGGAGTCATAGCAGGTTAATCGAATTTTAATACCGACTATACTAAGAGCGCACCGAGCAGGTGCCGTGCGAATTTGTGACGAGCATTTTTGTATTCAATCCATCCTAAACTGTGAGACGTTTGACTTTTTTGATACTAAGTTTGACCACTCGTCTTATTCAAAATTTTGTATAAAATATCACTTATTTCGTCGTGGTTTGGTTTATTGATAAAAATTCTTCAAGAATGACTTAAATTTGACTATATTTACATAAATTTTTTAAATAAGACGAGTGGTTAAACTTGTGGCAAAAAAAAATCAAACGTCTTACATGGAAGTGAAACGGCACAGCCTCTATCCAATGCTTTGCCTTCATCCTTCAAGACTTTCCGCAAGAGGAGCAGCTCAGTCCACAGGCAGCGACGAAAGGCCCGTCTTTTTGAGGTATTGTATTTAGTAGTAGTAACGTCTCGTATCTATACTGTTGATCCTGAAAACTGATCTTGATCAGGGCAGGCCTGATTCTCCTTGTTCCTGATCTGTGGCATTGTCTGGTACTGTTGTTTCTTCGGTGAGCTCTCAAACGACCTCGCTGGGTTGCGGCGCAGGGTTGATAGGGCCCTGGGGAATGCCGACGAGGGTGGAGAATATCTGCCTGTGGCACTCGTCGCAGAAGCAGAAGTATGAGAAGTGGCCTTCATCAAGAAGCTTGTGGACCGTGGCTCCTGGAACCACCCGCCGCACAAATTCAGCCACTGACGGCGAGACCACTCGGTCGTCCATCCCCTGTTGAGATATGAAAGGTTAGTTCTTTTTATTCCCTCGGCTACACGTACGTGCAAGGCATATAGTTTGAGAAGTTGAACCACCAAGCAACATAATGGACACATCCAATTCATTGCGTCCAATTGATAACACACGGTGCTTTTATAGCACCTCCATTTCCCAGTTCTTATGCCATTTGGGAGTTGCTATTTGTTGATACATACAAAACCAATTACGATACTACCTAACTTATGCATCAATTTTCTTTAATCATGCAAAACCAAGACTATTCAGCTACAATTACTATTGATGCAACCTTTCAGCTGTGCTGTGACAGCTTTTTTGAAGCCATATATAATGGTAACCTTGACATGCACAGACTCTGACAGTATGACCAAAATAAACAGAAACTGGTGAGCCCAGATGCTAGGCGGCTACAGAACACCTTCTAAACAACGTCATTGTGTGCAAGCACGCTATGTGTGAAATAGCTGGAGTAAGTTTTTCAGTTTCAGAGAACAGAGTACAAACCTGCCATATATGTATTGGGCCCAGAAATCCCACCCACACTCTTTCAACCTGATTGAACAGAGACTTGATGAGTTCAAAAAAGCCTCGAGCCTCTTTCTTCTGCATTTGGATGTCAGATAAGCTGAAACCCCAGTCAGATACTTGCAGCACAGCTTCCTCTACAAATGGCCTTGCATCTCCCTGGCGCACAGACTCTGCAACATTCCTTTCCCAGAATGCATTGAACACAGGACCTTCCAGTAAAGTTTTGTCCTGAATAATGCCGTAATATTAGTACTTGGCACGAGAAAGGGCAAATGTTCACATATAATCAAAGGGATGAATACTAAGAATTCTTAAGCTAGCACCAATCAGGCATGGATAAATCAATTACGGATAAATCAATTACTAACATGTTCATGAAGCACAACAATGCTGGAGTTGTTGTTTACCTATGTGGAGCAGATGTTGAGTGTATAGTTGCATATGGAAGATAAATATAGATGCTCCAAATTTTCAGCTGATTTTTTTTTAAAAAAAAGGTATTTATCTAACTAAAATCCAGTGCCACTTCTTCCTTGTGTGATTGTCTATTGTACAAGATACCACACATCTTACATCTGATTTTCCTATGCCTTGAAACAAACAGAAGGTTTCTACATTATAAAGTAAGAGCAGGAATGGTAAAGCAAATAATCATGCCATTCCCATATTGCCCTGCAGCAGCAGGCCCAATTTTTCATTGGTACTTTGAGATAGTACATAACACTGATATCAGCATACCTTCTTCCCCAATGACAGTGACAACCAACTCTCTGGCTGTCCTTGCTTTCCAGAAAGGAAGGTTTGGCGATAAAAGAACGGTAGCAGTGATGGAAACCTCCGAGCTAAAATGTGCATCAGTTTCCGTTTCGTTGACCAACTATCCCATGTTTTACGCCTCTCGTCTTTGGTCATCTTGAAGTCGTATGGATTTGCCTGGACACGGAATAATAAATCACATATCAGCAGACCTAACAGGAATACTTACATATACAATAAGCATGTAAGGTCTGTGTTCTTTGAAGACAAAAGCAATAAATGCTTTTGACTGGAATAACCACATGTTAATCTTAAGATGCAATGGTAGTTATGCCTTGACCAGATCAAGGTTCCAAACAAGGAAGACATATGTGCATCTGTGCTTTCAGTTACAAAAATATCGTTACAGATTTCGATGTTGCTGAGTAATCCAATTGAATAGAGCACTCGCATTTCATTATCATTGAGGCAAAAGTGATATACTAACAAACTTACAAAAATGTAAAGCATGGATGGCATTATGTTTAGGTCACAATCATTTCCAGAATTAAGTCTTCTGAAGTTCAAAAGGCATAAGCAAGGTATGACATTGCATATCCACAGGCTGAAAACAATGGCTCCACTGTGCTAGTGTCAAAAACAATTGCAACCAAAGAGGCATCCCCATCAAGAACTCGCCAACATATAAACTTACAGATCCAAAACAATATAGAAGAAAACCATATGAGGTAGGTACCAGCAACTCGATCAGGAATGTAGCGAAGAACACTCCAGGCATGCATGCATGCCACCTCCAGAGTAGCCCACAACCCAGAACTTTTCCGGAATACTGAGAGCATTAGCCAGATAGAGCATGTCCAGTGCAGAAGAATTGAGATTCCGACCTAGGTGTGGATCGCTTTCACCAAAACCAGGTAGATCATAGGTCACAAGTCGTACTCCAAATTCTTCCAGAAGAGATGCACTGATTCCAGGAATTCCTGCATGAGAAAGAACAATGTAGATCAAATAGAAAGCATGGAAATGCCAACACTATTCAGCAAATGATGTGATGCTCTGATAAACTAACATGCCATACCAACTCGACTAGATTCCCTACCTGCCAGCCTTGATGAAAGAAAAGAATGAGGAGCAATCAGTGAAAATCTTGCTCTGTCAGCTGAGACTCCTTGTTCTTCATAAGCCAGATGCCGTCCATAAGGAAGTTGGATTCTATCGGCACTTGGGGGACCATAAGTTTCTTTGGAAGCTCTACTGGAGTTTCATTGCCACTCCCAACACCTAAAACTGCATGGAGAACATTCTCATTAAACAATTAAAGTGGCGCACTGATTCCTACATGGACAAACTGTAATGTGGATCAACTGACCACGGTGCACTGACAAAATGGATGTCTAATATGGCACTACTGGATAGATGTTGCATTGGGCCATAAATTAATAGCATGAGGATATTGAGAATGAAGTCACCTTAAATTCATAATATTATTCGAATTTCGAAAAATATATAAATTAACATGTTCCAGTTCTCAAGTAAGACGCTTTGGTTCACAATGAACCAAACTGATCACAAAATGTACATAAGAAATCAGTGATAGAGTAAATCGGACTAAAAATAAACTGACTTGGTTCATACTCATCATATTATGGTGAAAGATAAGGATGAGAAATAGACAGTGCCTCCATGAAAATCAATTACTTAAACTAGACACACTAGACAAACCATCTGTACAAATGTGAATGAAATAGGGTCAAGCAGTTCCCCTTGTCCCATTCTCAAAAAGTAGAACAATTGACTAGTGGTATCCTTAACCATTGCACTGATTCAGCGGATCAAACACAAACCCACAATACACATAAAACATTAGTGTAGTTGTGGGTTTTTCTTGTCAAAGCAACGTTGCCCAAGCAAACTAGGCATGGATCCCAGGGTCTGAAAATGTATGGATGCAAATGTCACATTTTTCAACCAATTCGACAGTGAAGCTGTAACCGAACCGACCAAATCATAAGAACGTAAGTACAAAAACAATCACCGAAACGATCAAATTCCTGTACTTAAGCTCCCATAATCCCGGTAGTCCGGAAATCACGAAGGATTTCAACCAACTCTCGACATACAAACCAAGACCCTAGTGATTCAACACAATACATCATTCGTTACAACATTTCACAAGTATCATTCGGATTACATCCATCAGAGTTTAAAATAAAATATTACAAACCAAGTTCAAATTTGCGGAAGCAACATAGTTTAGTACATAACTTCATAGTTTCAAATACATTGCCAGATCTTAGTCATGTCCCACAAAAGTATCTTCAGATACGAGAACTAGGGGAGACCATGCCCGTCTTCATCCCCAGCCGGGAGAAGGCAATACTTGCAGCAACCAAAGTAGAACTGGTCATCTGCAACAGGTGGGAGATAAACCCTGAGTACGAGAAGGTACTCAGCTATACTTACCCGACAAAACCAGAAATAAAAGACACCAAGGATCATGCAAGGCTTATGAGGTGGGCTAGCTTGACACATTTGCATAAAAGAGCTTATGAATATAGTGACCAATTTAAACTTAGCATCAAGCTTATCATCATTTAACTGACCACTAGATTAGCACCCGTACTAGAGCACTCACTTATTAGGAGCATTCAATATTAACCATAGCAGGTATAATGAGGCTGTCATCATCATATCATCATTTTCGAACCATTATGTTATTTAGTGTGTCTACATTGGAGATAAGCCCGTCAAGTTCTCACTAACCGGGAGAGACGCCGACTCGAATCGAATTACAACTCAGCTGAGGGGGTATTCCTAACTCTCACCCTGGCATACTTTGCAAGGGTAGCCGTGGAGTCACCTTTGGAACAACTCAGAACCAAATTCGCGGGTTCGATCAACGCCCGGCACTCTCGGGGATTACCCTTCCGGAGACGATCGAACTTTTAAATCACCTTGCCTTGGACTCACGCCTCGGCTTCCTTCCGAGCGCGCAATTTATACTGTATCGACTCCGGCTGAGGTGGTGAGCTACTCGGCTTCATGGGTCGGTCTTCGCGACACTGACCAACTAAGAGAGACATGCGTTTAACATGAACAGAGGAAAGGCTCCAAGATTCAGTCCTTAATCGACACGAGCGGAGTCTTTGCAAAAACCGGCAAGCCTCCGTCCGGTCTTCATTTCAAATTAAGATGGGTTTTTTTCCACGATAGCAAATATAGCCAACCGTGCCATATGTATCTTCCTATATCTCGCGGTGACAGAAATCACCGACTTCTACCGTGTTAAAGCGGGGCTAAGCACTACACGAGCCTGAGCTACATAAGATTCAGGGTATCAATATCTAGACAAGGATTGGATAATCAATGCAGCAAGTGTTTGCATCCAACACCTAAACTTAATGCAACAATATATATATGTAACAATAATACTTTAACTGCATTTTGGAAATTAGGAGGCTTAATATGCTCCGGGGCTTGCCTTTCACAAAGTTGCACGGACGGTGATCCGGGCACTCAACGCGACCTCGTCGCACTTCTCCCGAAAATTTGCTCCTCCACGAATCTTGATTGTCAATTGCTGCTTTGCTTTCGCTTTCGCTCGGTTCCTCGAATTCCAATAGGGTCAATCCTTCCGGTACACCTATTGCATGCCGATGCACAAGATAAATATCATGGATGCATAAGGAATGACATGATGCTCATGATGAATGAATCACAGTAAATGTTTAACGAAAACATCACTGGACACTCGTTTACCGATTAAGAATAGCTCTATTCAAATCACTTTAAACATGTATCTAACTTAATTTGAAGAATGAGATCAACTTACCTAACTTGCATAACCTAAGATAAAGATGCTCATCTTCAGTTAAAGGCCTAACACCTAGGAACATTACTACAAACTTAGAAATAGTAAAGACATACTTAAAACAACAGTTAAAGTTTCATATGCACACGGGTAGTTCCTTAATTTAATCATAACCAGAGTTCTATAAATTCAAATGACTTGCAAGAGGACATTCTGGAAATCTTATGAAATCCTCTACAAATCATTTGTAAACATCAAAGCATGATTCTTACGTTAACCAAATCGAATTTCAGTAAACCTAGAATCTGTCCAGAAATGACAGGTTTACTAAATTAATTATTTAGTGATGATGCAAAAGCATAATTGGACTAAACCAAGTTTACCAACTTATTGCACATACCAAAGGAATATCAGAAAGTATAGTGCCAACCTCTAAATAAATTATTTAATGTCATTTTCTAATTTATTTATTTAATTAGGTGATTAAAGCAATATATAGTAAAACTGTTCAGAAAAATCTATAAAAATTACAGTAGCTATCTTATGATTCACATAGACTACCATAAAAATTTCAAAGCTATTGGGCAAGCAGAACTTGTTGTATCCAAAATAACATGTGACATGTCTATTTTTAGCATAATTAGGAAACCCTATTGAAAAGTGTCAAGCAACAGATTTCTTATTTTTCCTAGTATCACTCTAGCATAAGAATAGCACTCACCAATTTTTACCTTTACTGGATCTATAGAAAAATTATGAAAATTCACACAAGATCCATCCATGCAAACAAGAGAATTTTATAACTCCTACATACAGTGTCCAAAATGTATGAAAATTTAACTAGAAGCTATTCATGATATGAGCAGAACACCATAAAAATTTCATGCTATTTGGAGCTACATATAAAAATATATAATTACCCCTGTTTTCCTCATGATTAAAAGAGATAATTAGTAACTCCATTTTTCATAACAGAACATGGTATAAGTCATATTTTTAATAAAAACTAGACATTATCATGAACTCAACAAAATTGGAACCACATCATTTGAAGCTACCAACTATGAGATACATATTTTTGAATCTATACACAAATCTGTGAAAAGAATAAAACCAAAACAATGTTGAAACCCTAACTCTACTGCTGGGCCGGCCCGAAGGACATGGCGGCCCGCGAAGCGCGCGCTGGCGCGGCCCAGACTCGGCGCAGCCTAGGTCTGGTTCCCGCCTGAGCTTCAGCGACTGACGATGGGGACCCGCACGACAGTGAGACAGGCAGGGGAAGGGAGGAAGACGACGGCGTAGCTCGTCGCCGGTGACAGCTCCGGCGAGTCCAGCGGTGCTACGGCGTTCACCTCATCACTGCGCATCTAGCGGTGCCATCAATTTTGGCTATTACCGCAGCAAGAGGGGGTGGTGACGGCCATGGCGGCGCTCGGCCACGGCTTGGCCGGCTCCGGCGAGGCTACGGCGTCACGGCCCTAGTGGCCCACTCTACGAGCTTCAGCGTCACACACAGCACCTAGCGCAAGGAAGAGAAGGGACGGCAAGGGGCTCGAGTGGCACAGCCCTGTGCAAGCTCGGCCGGCGACGGTCATGGCGACCCAGTGGAGCCGCGCTCACGGGGAGGTCTACCTGAGGCGAAAATGGAATGGCGGTGGGGTCGCAGACGTAGAGAAGCTCACGGTGGGGCTATGGCTTGGATGAATCGGACCAAGGCGCTCGGTGGCTGCCACGACGTCCCGGTCGTCGTGCTCTCACGGAGGAAGGAGATGGCAGAGCGAAATGGCAAGTGAACGAGCGAGTGGCGAGACGTTGGCCTTCATCTGGGGCTCGGACGCGCGACGTGGAGACTTCGGCAGAGCATGCGCACCACGCGGCGAGCAGCTCCTGAACCGGCCGGCCACGGCGGCTCTGTCGGTTTTCTGAAAACGAACTGAAACGACGCCCGATGGCACGACTGACAGCGTGAATTCGACGGTCCATAACTCCCAAACGGTGGCGATCTGATTCAAGGTGTAGTTAACAAAATTGAAGATCGAAGTGAGTACAACAACTTTGTCAAAAGGAGCTCGAGTTGGTTCGGCCTGGTTAGGGAGATACAAGCCTCCAAACAGTGATACTCGAAACTGTAAATCGCCTTAAAGACTTAGAAAAATTCTAAGTGTGAATTCAGCATGGAAATATGATTTGTGGGCCTTGTTTGAACATGTTCTAGCCATTTTCATGAGTTGGTCATATTGAGACTTTTGTTCCTTGATAAATTGGCTACAACTTTGGTAAAGGGTGCACAGCCATGCAAGGTCTCTAAGTTAGTCTTTTGAATCAGTCAAACAGTGCCACTCTAGGGGTCATTTCAAGTCAAACCTCCACTTAAGGGCAATTTTGTCATTTTGATCTACATGAACAATGTCCAAACAATTACCCTAAGTGTAGTTAAGGTGTATTAGACCATAATCAACCACTTTACACAAATGCTATACCCATTTCAAATGATCACATGTGATGAAGCAACAAAACAAGCAATTCACCCAAATGTTGCAATTCACTGTTTCACATGTTTCATGACTTTGTTGTTATTTTATACTTGTCATATTACTACCATGTTGCCATGTTTCAAGGTATAAGAAACTCATGTTGCATTCACATGTTGCACTACTACCCTTCATAAGCAACCAAGTATGAAACAAACAGAATTTGCGAATGTTGCATATGTATGTTTCAGTGACAATGGCATAATAACATAGATGATGCATATGTTTATGAAATGAAATGCAATTTTTGTGAAAGCCAAACACCTAGGGTGTTACAGAAACGTACTACAGAATAGATATCTTCTCACAGATGAGAGAGGTTATAATCCAAAATTCAAATTAAAACCCTCAATAGAAACTGAAACACGCGTTTATTCCCGATTCTCCGCAGTCAGCTAGATCCGTCCCCGCAAAAGAACAAATACAAGATAAAACGCACATAGCATATTGCGGGACGCCACAACCACAGTTGCACGCTCAGCAGGAGGCAGAGACGCGTCACGCCAGCGCGCGGTGTAGCGGTGCTGACGTAGAGAAGAGCGGCGGACGCGAGATCAGCGGTTACCTAGGAGCGTGACGAATGCGACTGCGGCGACGATGAGCCAACACCTCACCGGGTCGCGCTCCTCGGGGAGGTACTCGTTCATGAAGCTGAGGCGCTTCCCCGTGGCTGCCGCCCGCTTTCGGAGCCGCCGCGCAAGCTCGCTGTCCTCGGTGGCGGCGAGGCTCTGCGCGGCGACGTCCCACATCCCCCAGCCCAGCTCCCGCAGCATCTCCGCTGTCGACTCCGCGAACCCCTTCGCCTGCTGTGCCCACCCCTCCTCCTCCGCCCTCCCCTCTTCCTCCTCCCCGTACCACCCGGCCCCCACCGCCGCAACATTCGCCGCCGCCGGCGCGTGCCCCCCGGCGCCGGGGAGGCGAACGCCCGTGTCCCCCACGAGAGTGGGCAGGTCCTCGTGCCACGTCATCGTGGCCGCCGCCGACATCTTGCCGCCGCGGCGCCGATCGCTTTTGCTCCGCGTGTACGTGCTCCCGTGCTCTCGCGCAAGAGAGGTTTGGAAATTGGGAAGCGAGGAGAGGGAGTGGGAAGACCGGCACTGGGAGTTGGAAACGGAGGCAAAATGGCGGAGCTTGAGACGTTTTGGCTTACTTGTGGGTCCCGCTAGGCTGTGTGGGTAGGAGTTTCGGTGGGTGTCCCTGGCTTTGGCCGTAGGAAATGTGAGAGTCGGCACGGCGGCTCGCAACTGCCACTTAAATGGACGGTCAGGTTGACAGAGATGCTCTATGCGGAGTAAGGGCTTGTTTAGTTAAAAAAAAGTTTTTCAAGAAGTGCTGCAGTAGCTATCACATCGAATCCTACGATACGTGCATGGAGCATTAAATATAGACGGAAAAAAAAACTAATTACACAGTTTGGTTGAAAATTGCGAGACGAACGTTTTGAGCCTAATTAGTCCATGATTGAACACTAATTGCTAAATAAAAACGAAGTACTACAATAGCCAAATTTCTAAATTTCGCGAACTAAACACATCCTATGTACTTAGGGCATGCAGGAGAAGTGATCACAAAAATTCAAAAGCAGTGGTCCCATTTTGTTCCTGCGTTCACTGCAACTGCAAGAAAACTTAAGAGACTGCTGTTGCAAATGTCAGAATTAAACCGTTTACGGATATTTGAACGTTGTGTGCCGCACATTTGTTTAGAGCACTATCTAAACAGAATTCAGAAAACAAATTGTTGTTATAGATACGGGCCTATTTTGCATACACTTAGTCAAAGTTTAAAAAGATTGACTTATAACAAAACTAAAAAACGATACACAATTTAAAACAGATGAAGTATTCAGTAGCCAATTGAAGATACATGCAACTTCTCTTCAAAAAAAGATACATGCAGCTATGAATGACATTAACTGGTGTGGTTTCTTATTTTTAGGATCCAGTTTTTTTTCATTAAAGAGTTTTGCTATGAAAAATTGCCATAGTTTTCTTTTGTTGTGTTTGTGTTAACTTGTAATTATTATACACACTAAGCATTTCTTCAAAGGGTTCGTGACACTCTTCTCGTCTAAAGCATTTTCAATCATTTTTGTGGTTAAAGTGAGTACTTTAAACATACAATTGTTGATTTAGGTGACCTTGTGATTTCAATCAATACTACTATGACCTAAGGACTCCACTGCCCTAAAACATAAGGATTTCTAATATTTTCCGGTAGCATTGAAAGAGGCTTTTTAGTGCATGGCCTCACTAAAGTATTATGTTACCTTGTAATGTAATTCACTTAAACAATTACATTATGTTATTGGGTAGAATTTATAACCATAATACTCCCTCGGTCCTATAATATAAGGGATCCATGGCAAGAACTATTGATATTCCTTTTAAACTTAGCATCATCCAAAACAACCAATTAATAAAATTTAATTTCATAGTTTCTATCTATAATATCTAAATGATTTGGCAAGTATAAACATTATCTCATAGTTAAAGATACAATTTCATAGTTTCTACCTATAATATCTAAATGATTTGGTAAGTATAAATATTATCTCATAGTTTCAGTGTTAGGATTGTCCGTTTGAAAGCCCTTGTATTGCTCTAGCAGAGATGGGGCGGCGGCGCAACCGGACGAGAAGAAGGTGTGGACGCTTGCAACGGCTGGACCGGCTGGCGGAGACCGACCGGCGACCGCCCCTGGGCCTGGCCCCCCGCCCATCACCCTGGCCTCGAACCGCCCCGATACGCCACCTGCCGCTTCCACCGGGCCACCACGACGAGGCGGCAAAACAGCACAGGCCACAGCTGCCGCCGCCGTACGGGGGATCCGAGCCACCCGCGCGTACCGCTTACGCTTCGGGCAGGTGGGGTGGGACCCCGGGCGGCAGGATCGCGTGCTCCGGTTCGCGCAGAGACCTCGCGGGTGGCGCGCGGCGCGTCGGCGCGACGCGATCACGAGACTCTCTATGGCAGGAGCTCGGGATGACGGGATGGACGGTGGGGTCTGTGCGATGCTGATGCATGCGGCGGCTCCCTTTTTCTGCGGCCTTGTTTAGTTACCCTCAAAATTCCAAGTTTTTTCATCCTCTTTCTATCACATCAATTTTTAGCTGTTTGTATGGAGCATTAAATGTAGGTAAAAAAATAACTAATTACACAGTTTAGTTGAAAATCACGAGATGAATCTTTTAAGCTTAGTTGGTCCATAATTGGACAATATTTACCAAATAAAACGAAAATGATACTATTCATCAGGGTGAAATGGGGGTTTATCGATATCGAGCACTGGAGCAGGATATTCGGCACTGTAGCAGCAATAGCGGCTTTTGGCATGTTCGGCTGGCTGGGCTGGTGCTGGTAAGCTCACTCACGGTACGGTTTATATGAACAGTACCTTCACAGCTAGGATAGTATTTTTTTTTTGTAATAATTCAGTCAAAATAATATTTTAATTTATTTTTTAAGCCAGCCGAACACTCCCTTTGTTGGATATACATGGCCAATGGGCGCCTGGCACGTGGTGGGTTACCAACGTTGAAGTGCTGATAGATTTGACTGCTTGCCCGGCGTGGCGGGCTCGTGGAGTGGAGCCAACGGGATTGGATAGGGGTGGCTCTATGTGTTTTTTATCCTCCTCGTAGAACAGCGTATCAGTGATATATCGAAATCGTTTATTCATTTTCATGACGATGATGCAAACCGCGTAGAGGAGGGAGACTAACACCAATGCTCAAATGCTGCATGTGCAATGTGCCTCGGTTAGAACACATAAACGATCTATACGGCTACTAGTTAGTCGTTGAACACGTCCTAATGTGTGTTTTTTACCACTACGTAGGTAATGAGATTTTTGCATGTAAATTATCGGTGATAAACGCAATAATCAGTAGTTGCTCATGATTATTTTTGGTGCAGAAAACCAGTTATTATATTCACTAGCGTAGTTAGGGGGCTATAAATGGAAAAATAGATAAATTAACAATATCTTAGTATAGCTAAGTACTCACTCTATCCCAACTAATAAGATATTTTGGCTTTTCTAAACCTATTGTTTTTACTATTTATATAGACATAGCGTGTATCCAAGTGCTTATAATTTGGAAATTGGAATGGAGAGAGTATAGAACTCTATAACTATAAGAAAAATGCAAAGTTAGTGTGGAATATACTCCTTTTGGCCTAAATGAAGCTCCGCCAGTGATTATATTCTTCCACATTGGTGGATCTTGAATAAATTTCACTTGCTCTGGACCTGAAGGTTACACTACTACAGAAACGAATTTGCGTTGCGTCACCAAAATGGCATCTGTGGCGGGCACAATTTTTGCCCGCTGCGGTTAATGCCCATGATTTACCGAGGCGGATCTTTTTTATTTACCATGGCGGGCGTTTTTGCCCGCCACGGTAAATCGATTTACCGTGGCGGGTGTCTTAAGATGTCCGCCACGGAAAATACCCTATTTTTCACGGCGGACATCTTAAGACGTCCACCACGATAAATCGATTTACCGTGGCGGGCATCCAATAAGGCCCGCCACGATAAATTTTTGGCCCAGTTCGGAGCCCAGGCGCAGCCCATACCAGGCTCATATATAAATACCAGAGCTTAGGGTTTCTACACTCGTCCTCACCCTCTCTCTGTCTCCCACCGAGCAGCCCCGCGCCGCACTCCTCCTTCTCCTCGCGATAGCGCCGACGCGCTCTCCCTCCCCTCTCCCCCTTCCCTCTCCACCTCTCTCCGGCTCTCACGACGGCGGAAGGGGACCACGCCTCCGGCGTGGGGTCGCCCTCCTCGACAATGCGCGCCTCCGCTTAGCGGCGGCGGGCGGCTCTCCTTCGGCACGCTGGCAGCGCTCCCCTTCAGCGGCGGCGGTGGCGGAGCTTGGAGCTAGAGGTGGCGCAACGGCTAGGGTTTCAGATCCATCGGACCAGCTCGGTGAAGGTGTTGCTCACTGTCCCTTCTTCCTCTCTCTTGCCCTCTTGATGTTGCTCACTCTTCTTCCTTCTTCAGATCCGGTGAAGGGAGCCGCCGCGAGCCAGATCTGGGAGGTGGAGCCGGTCACACCCATCTCTGGCGGCGGTGGGACTGTGTCTCTCCCTCGATGCGGGGCCGACTGGATCCGGCGCGAGGAGGTGGAGGCGATCGGATCCAGGGACGACTACGACGACGACGCGAAGATCCCAGTGGCGCTAGGGTTTCGGGCTCTGATTAGGCTCGGGAAACGGGCAGCCGTGGGAAGCCCGGATCCGTCGCCGGTGGGCTCGAGAACGGGATCGCCGGCGGGCTCCTGGTTTTTTTTGTTTTTTTAAAAATGATTAACCGCAGCGGGCATCCTAACGTGCCCGCCGTGGTAAAAAGATATATTACTGCATGGCGGGCACGTTACACCCCGCCATGATAAATCGATCGGTTAACCATGGGCGGGCAAGGCCTCCGCCATGTTAAGCCACGATTTACCGGGCCTCTAGGCCGCGGCGGATGGCTTTGCCCGCCGCGGAAAACCGAAAACGCCCGCCTCCAGTAAAGTTTGTGTAGTAGTGTTATTAACGTCTCACATCTCTCTTTTCGTTGACTTACTATACAATAGCTCGTTCAATCGTCAACGCCCCATTGTACTAACCTAACTCCATCAAGACAATCTCCTTTTGCTCCCGGCTTGGTAGTTTTGGCACTACCGTTGTTAGTCAGCTAAAGAAATTTGAAAGGTGCATAAATGAAACAAAATAGGTACTCCATCATAAAATACAGTTACATTTAGAGTTTAAAACTGTCTCCATACAACTACATTTGAGTTCCGGACATAATTCAAATATGAATGGATGAAAGTATACCTCTATAAATCAATAGATGGTAGCACATTCTCTCCAGATCTATTAGCTTAACAATCTTTCGGATACGCTCATAGGATATGATTTGCATGCATATGTTCATAGGGGTGAGTGCACATATACGTCTTACGGGAATCTGTGTATGTACCGGATAATTTGGATGAAAAAATCAATCCGCATGGAGAAATGCAAGTAGACGTCATTGTCGTGCGTAGATCATGTGTGCATGAACAAGTTAATGAATGCCATATATGACATTTTATCACTTTCCTTAACCTGTCTTATTAAAAACTAAATGCAGTTGTAATTCATGATATTTTACCACTTTCCTTAACCTGTCTGATTGAAGACTAAATGTAGTTATATTTTATGATATTTTACCACTTTACTTAACTTGTTTGATTGAAGACTAAACGTAGTTATACTTTAGGATTGAGGTAACACTTTTTTCCTTCCACATGAACCATCTTAACTTTCATATTTTGCAAGCACAATAAATCATTTTGTTAACCACTCTCTCCGGTCTAGTTTATAAGGCGTCTTTTTATCTAGTTTGTAAGGCGTCTTGGCTTCTAACATGTCACGGTCTTCTTAATTACACTCTGACCATTCATTTATTTTAAATGATTATAAACTGATAATTATTGGATATTACATTTGATTACAAAACTAATAGTATCAAATGTATCAATAGTTAAAAGTATTATTAAATTATGGGTCAAAGATTATAAAGTTCGATTATTGACGTATGAGAAATGCCTTATAAATTGGACTAGAGGGACTAGTAAATAAAATCCAGAGAAAAGAGCTGCACATGGTATATCAATGAAACAAAAGAGCTGCCACGTGCCTCAGCCCTCAAAGAGAGAATCTGGTCCACCAGGCACCACTTATTCGAGCGAAATTCCATGAAAGACACGTCGTGGGTGTCGGTTTCCCATAGAGTAACGCCGATGAGATTACGATGCAAAGCTGGATTCTGGATGACAATTGTCCATGACACTGAAAGGCGGAAAAGAAAAGAAAAAAAAACAGTAGAACGAAAGGCAAGTTGATGAGTATCTTTATTCGTTTTGCATATGATCTTTTCTTCTAGAACCAAGATGTGAGCTGTCCATGACAAGCGGAGGGATCGAGAGCAAGCGCGTCCATCCAAGAATCGTGAGGAGGCAATGCATCATAATAGGCCGTGGCTGGGCCCCATCAATCCATCGTGGGGCCGCTGATGAGTCATCACACGATAATTAGTTCTCTGGCGTCTTTGATTTCGAAAGAAAAGGACGGACTAGATGATGCCCATCCAGCGAGACATCACCGACTCACCTGTCGAGATAAGGTGACATGCAAAGGCATATAAGGTCATAACCAAGTCGTCCGGCGAACCGGCGGCGCGGAACGTGCCCGTGCGTTGGGTGGTTGACAAAAGGGGCAGCTGCTGCTGCGAAAGCAGGAGGTTGTGGTACGGTGCCCTGGGGGAACATGGTGGAATGTGTTGGGTTGGGCAGGGGGTAGCTAAAGCCCCCAACGGTTTGATTTTGATTCTTCTTCCGTGATCTTCTGAACTAGTACCCCCAGTAGAGACGTGGCGTGTGGATTTTTGGCGGTGGTCACTTGTTGCGCCCGCCGCATGGCAGGGGTCACTCAGGCGGGAAGGCCAGGCAGGGCCCGTGCCATTGCTGTCGCCGGATGGTCCTCTCTTGCAATGACAGCCCAAGTTATGCAAATTGAAGGTCCACCAGCACCGAGAATCACACATTCACATGGAGATGGAGTACGCCAGCCGATCAGGGGAAGTAAACAAACTCCAGTTCAACGTGGATGGCGGAGCACTGGATCATTGGACCCGTAAAAGATGATACTAGTAGTCGATAGAGGTGGTAGCAGGATGGGTACTTGAGTAGGAGTAGGCACTATGCAACGAGCGGTGTCTGCCAGACTGCCGGTCAACAACAACTAGGACGGTCGGTGCAGTGCAGCTTTCCTTTCCTTTCCTTGTTTCTTCCTTTTGCAGTTTTGCTTGCTTCCGCCCTCCGAAGAAAAAGTAGGTGCACGGAGCACAGTGCACCCGGACGAACCAGCGGATCGCCCGGCGAGTTGATTGATTAGCTGTGGCTGACGGGAAGGGAATATGCCCCTCCTCTGCCGCTCTGCTCGGTCGGTCGGTCGCTGCAGCGTCTGCAGTCTGCGAACTTCTCGCGGTAGCCTGCCGTGCTCTGCTGCATCATCACCAGACCAGGGCGGGGGTCTCGTGAATGAACAGCAGCAGGTTTCAATTTATTACTGTAGTACTTATGCAAAAAAATGGACTCTGAGTCTGATAGGAGATCGGAGTGGAGACAGCAGTACAGACAGACGGCAACAGATATCCTACACAGGAGAGAGCAGAGGCCGCAGAATTGCAGACACCATCAAAATCTGTTTGACGAGTTTTTTTTTTTTAGCAACACCATAATGCGAACTGGGCTGAACTCACGAAGACACTGCGGAGGCCCATAAGTTCATACGATAAAGGCATCGTACCTATCGGCCCATAACGGCCCAGCAAATACCAAGTCATCAATCGACTTCACTGTTCGCACACCGCACCCCACACCCCCCCACCCCCCCTCCCTTCTTTCCCCTGTCTCTCCCCTCGCCGTCGCTGTCGTCGCCGTCCGTGCGAGCCATGGATCTAGGCGCTCCCCGACGAGGGCGCCTACCGATCCACCTCTTTTTGGTGTCGCTCACCGTCCTCGTGGTCCTCACCGTGCGCTCCAGCGCCGAAGTCATCACCCTCACCGAAGAGACCTTCTCCGACAAGGTACCGGTACCCCCTGCCGTGCCCTTCTCTCTCGGTCTCTCTTCTCTCCGCCTTACCTTCCAGTCGGGGATACTTGGCACGGCTGTAACTTTTTCTGTGTTGCGCTAATGGACCCAAGAATTAGCGACGCTACACACTAGACACGAGATTTGGCAGTTGTAGGCCAAATCGTTCAATGGTTTCACTTCGATGAGTCCATAGTTGCTACGTTGCCACTCGCCATTATGAAACGGATTGATCCTAACCTTTGCAGTCCTCTTGCCTGATATCGACAGTGCAAGAGTTCAAATCTATTATTTAGTTACTACTTTCTAATGAGAATTGTTAGTAGTCAAACAAAAGCCAGAGAGTGCTACTGTGACCTGCTTTATTGTTCCAGTATGCATGCTATTCAAATTTCTTTGGTGCCTGAATGTTTGTTTTGGTCAAGCAAGTTTGATTCTGAGATATTTTTCTCTTGTTTAGATAAAGGAGAAGGACACAATCTGGTTTGTGCAATTTTGCGTCCCCTGGTGTAAACACTGGTAAGACATGCTTCTCATAGGGGTTAGACGAATGTTGCCTTATCATGTATAGATTTTTTATTGCCGCAAAGCTGATTTGTTAAGGGTATGACATTTGCAGCAAGAACATTGGAACACTATGGGAGGATCTGGGAAAGGTTATGGAAGGTGAGGATGAAATTGAGATAGGGCAAGTTGACTGTGGTGTCAGCAAACCAGTATGCTCAAAGGTGGATATCCATTCCTACCCAACATTCAAGGTGTTTTATGAAGGCGAAGAAGTAGCAAAATATAAAGGTAAACTTTGTTTCACCAGTTCACCATACTTTTAGGCAGAAATTCCAACTTAAAACCATGTTTGTTCTTCTAGTTTTGGCCCACACCCCTTATGAACATCTATGGATTATACTCGGAGTGGGAGTGGGATCTCAAAGTCTAAAATCTTTGTAAATATAAATCAAAATCAAATTCGACATTTAAACCGTTTTGTATATCAGATAAGTGCTCACTTCCGTTCCATGGACAGTTTACTTTTAGATCAGTAGGTCACCTCTTCTATGAAGATTTTGCTAAATCCACTAATCGTGGTGCGGATACGGTTAGGTTTAATATCAGAGGCAATAACATCACGTAACTGAATGATGAGAAGAACATATCATATTTCATAAATAAGTAAATTGCCATTCATTGATCATCCTGACTACTATCAAAATGAATATCGCTTATGTTGCTGAACTCTTTGTAGCCATTGAATGATATGGTACTGTATTGTTGGAGTTGTTGCTTACAAGCTGCCTATGTAGCTCAGTAGCTACTTATTACTCTAATGAATTCATATCCTTCGGAGTTTGGACCATGGCCCAAAGCTGATTATATGCAATAGTCATTTTTGCATTTCTATTCATCACCCAATACTCAAAATTCACCATTTACATTCATGGATCTGCTAGCTTACACTTAACATTAAGTACATGCCACGAATTTTTAGCCATTTTTGTTTGAGAACAAGTTGATGCTTCGTAACTGCCAATTATTTGTTTCTTCCCTACTTTGGTTTCTATTTGTCCTTTGTATCTTTATGCCTGTTACGGTGCTTTTGCATATGAACATATTCCTTTTCGTTTGGTTCGTTGACAGTATTCAGTACTCACAATAATATGAAACTGGATTCACCCATACTACTGCAGGACCTAGGGATGTGGAATCACTGAAGAACTTTGTGTTGAATGAAGCTGAGAAAGCAGGTGAGGCAAAGCTCCAAGCTGATTGAGGTAGGGGAGTTTCAGCAAAGCATGTGGCTTAGACAAGGAACAATGCTTTGCAACGTTGTCCTGTATCTTGGCATTTACAAAGCCAATTTACAGGAAAGAAATGACCTTGTATCAGAGTATTCCTCTTCGAAGTACAAGTCCGAATCAGTTCATGGAAGCTGTACTCCATACCATAGGTTTCATCACATTGACAAACTTAAGTAATGATTAGAATGCAACGATACAAAGGTCGGTTTATGTCACTTGCGCATCTCCCAACGGTTAAACGGGTGGTTGAATGTAAATTTATGCGGTATGTTGGAACTGAACCCCTTCAAATACTAGTATAATGCCCGTGCTAACGCCGTGGCTTTATCCTGAGGATCCACATGAAAATAACCAATAATTTTTTTTTCATAGTTTAACTTTTACACAATTATATTTGAGCATGTTTACAATCCGAGAAACACTTTTGCATAAGAAGGTATAGTAAAGTTATTTCTCATATTAACCATCTAAGTTATATTCTGCCTAAGTCATTAATCATGACTTGGGGATCTTTAGGGAAGTTGTCAAAACATTCGTTTGCACGGCTCTTCAAAATGTCCGTCAAGAATTCCATCCTCAGTGAAGTTGATAGCTGTACATGGCAGATAATAAGCTAAATTATTAATTTTCTCGTCGTAACAGCTCCTGACACATGTCATTCATAAATCGTACCCATCAGCAAAACTTGCAAAGAGCAAGCAATGGCAGCGGCGATCCTGGTGCTGCAGGCCGAGCATCCAGCAGGCGTCCGCCTCCACCATAAATCAAGTAGTGTAGTCCTAAAAATTATGGACCAGTCTAAAAATTATTTTTCAGTAGTGTTTAATGATTAGATTAGTATTAGCAATTGTTTATAGTTAAACTCTAAGACATGAAAGTCATCAGGGATCAGGAAAACTCACATAACCATGAGAGATGACAGCTGTGAAAAGATATCAGGAATTGAGCCCTCCAACTTATTGTGTGATAAATCCCTGAAAATATATCAGAATTCAGAAACACAAATTTATCTTCACTGACTAAAATTCACTGTAGAATTAATGTGACTGAAAACACGTAGTTACAAATACTCGAGTGCTTTGAGTTTGGTAAAGTAAAATGATACATCTCCGTTCAACCCGCTGAATGAAAGGTGTCTGTGTAAACATCCAAAAGTTCAGACGAAAGTGTTGTTTATACTGAAAGCATACCTGCGATGTTGGTGATATCGCTTAGCGCATTGCGTGTATCTCCGGGCGTAGATATTGCGAAGTACCAGCGAGGATCTTCAGCTGGCAGTAGCGGCGGGCAGCAGGGTTTCCTCCAAGATAAGATAACTAGGTACAAAGTTAAGTGAATATTTGGTTTGGCACAGAACTAATTTGACATTATGTGTCAAATACAAATTTAACAGACTCGTAAATTGGCATACTTTTGCATCAAAATTAAGTCGGAAACATATGCTATCTGTATTAGCTATAAGCTGTGCTAGTAACTGAATCTGTAACCAGAGTACCAGACAGAGCACATGACTGGAACTTCAAAGCATGAAAGTCAAGAGGACCACACAGTAGGATCTTAAAAAATATGCAAGGGAGGTATATCTTTTTCCTCTTTCCTTCTACTTATTTTTCTTTTATATAGACAGACCCCAAAAGTGAGTACTGATATATAGCTCAAGCATTCATCATAGTCATGCAATGAAATTCAGAACAATTAGAACAAATCAGGATTATTGATCATGGGATAGTTCCTCTTGTCTTATCTGAATACTGAACTTTTGGTTTCGGTAAATTGAGTTGTATATAGAATTCTATAGTACCTCAATTCACAAATAAAAGGAATTCTGACATTTGCAACACATGAATATTGTTTAGTATTTTTTATATCAGTCAAGTTGCAGTGTTGCACACTGGCACCGGTACATATTGATCTAGAATGAAAAAAATATTGTTGACATCTAATCCATTAGATGGTGGAAAAAAGAAGTGACTTCTGATATGAAAAAAATTGAGAAAGAAAAAGGCTCCATATTTACGAACATACTTTATTTGAACTCAATGTAATTTTTTTTTGCATATTATCATATTATAGCACATGACTAAAACTGAAACTGAAACCAGACAGAGCACATGTTTTCTAGTTATTTTAGTAGTAACATAGTGTGTTAACTGCAGGCCATGCTGCCAGGGTCAAGCCATTAAGCTCCTTTGGTTCGCTGCTAATTTTTTGCAACTTTTCACTCCTAGAGTTTTTAGAACAAATGCAGAGTACTTGTCACGTTGGAAATCGTTCATGATCAGACTTCAGAGTCCCTATGATACTGATAGTAGACATTGTGAAGTACCTACGATGACAATGATATGTGGCCGGCCAGATCTTCTGCCGGCTAGTCCGTAGATGCAGCCGGGCCACCCGAGTTTAGTGGCCTGCTGCGCGTTCGTCGCAGCGCCGGGGTTATGGCCGACCGACCGACAGTAGCGACGGACAGCAGGGTTTCCTCACCACGCCCGGCAAACTGAAGCAATATAGCAATGAAAGCGTGCCGTCGTTCAGGCAGATGAAGGTTGCACGTTGTGCGACGACGCAAGGTCGGCGCTCTGAGTAGCAAGATGCTATTACAAATTGCAGTGACTAAGATTCATGGCATATCTGAGAGATTTGCACTTATAATTAAGTACTTGGGCAATATCGCCGACGGTCACATGGATCTCGCCGTCGTTCAAACCCAGCTCACCAGGCACCGCGGCTTCCTCCTCCCCTCCGCGAAGGGTGTGGGCGCGGGCGATCGGCGGCGCCGCGCCAAGACATACGGGCACTGCGGCTTCCTCCTCCCCTCCGCGAAGGGCGTGGGCGCGTACGGGCACCGCGGCTTCCTCCTCCTCTCCACGAAGGGTGTGGGTGTGGGCGGCGGGGTGAGAAGCCTGGCATCCCACATCGAATTGTGGCCATCGGATTTGGTTAAGGTGTTTGATTAACCCTTAATTTTAATGATGCTGAATTCGTGTGTGTATTTTTCTCGGTGCGTAATGGTCGGAGGCTCTCAGCGGGGGACGTTTTCGTAGGGAGACCTAGTATAATTTCGAGTGGTCCATTATAGTAGAGACTTGATCAATGGAATTAAGGGTCCGTTTGGTAGAGCTTTTCGGTTACAGAGCTGGAGCTACTACACCGGTTTTTAGTTTATTTTGAGAAGAGGAAAAAGGCTCTCTGCTACAGCGCGCAAGGTTCCATAGAACCTACTGTATGTGTATGCCAAACGGGCCTAAACCTTTTTTTGTTCAACAACAATAAGGATCTTGAGGGAGACGCAGGGGCTTGTCCGAAGGCCTCTTGGGCTCATTGATCATGTCGACAGCGTTGGTCGGAAACCAGAGTCAGTTGCCCAGCAGGGCAGGCTGGCTGCGACCTGCGAGGACAGGAATACTGCACTACGCATGTGTATATATTTTCCTCTCCATCACAGCATCACGACATAGGGCACAAATTCCACGATGTGAAGATACAAGGATGTCGGATCGATGCACACAGCTGAGCTCAGCAATCCGAGCTGGACAGCCACGATAATCAGGTGGAGAGGCTAAATTAAAATGTGAGAACGAGTTCTATGCGTGTGCGATTCAGAGCTTGTGCTTGCGGAGCTCGCTTGCACAAAAGCTTTTGGGACCTTTTGCGTATATAATCAGAGCTACAGTTTAATCAGCCAAGAGATCTTCAGAGTACAGACCACGCCCATTCGCCGAAGATAAACCGACAGAAGTACAGGACCATGTAAAAACTGCAGCATTAGACTATGCCGTACGTTACACAACGGCACTACTACTGTCGTTTGGACTGTGGACATGCAGTTCTTCAGATTTTCATACCGCAGGGCATCCAGAAGTTCAGAACCAACGGAAAGGGTACTGCCCCAGAGAAAAGAGAAACGAGAGAAACATTTGCCAGGTGGTGCAGAGTTTTTGCTCTGTTTTTGTTTTCCCTTCCCCTCAGGCTCTAATAAACAAGTAAGTAATTGATCATGGATTATCTGCTAGACACGACAAAGCACATCGGAGCAAGTCTGTTACCCGTTACTGCAGATGAAAGCCATGGCAACAGGCTCTTACAATTTGCAACAGTGTCGGCGACAAGATGGCAAAAAAAGATGTCCCAAGACACCTGCAGATTATAGTACAACATAACAAGACTACGTTCCATAATGGCCGCTTGTTGCAGGTAGACTGTTGAAGCTTCCTTTTTCAAAAGCATGTGTCCAATCCACATCAGCTCCTAATTCCTAGCCCTCACCATTGTAGTTAATTTCCCGCACGATGGCGATGGGCCAACAACAACCATGCCACGGTACTGAAGAGCCCCCCTATCTTGCTCCTAATGAACGGGTACATGGGCCACCAAGAAGGCAAGAACAATGCCATAGTTTTGTGTGCTTCCGAAGCTAGTTGGTGCAGGTGTCTATCCTGTCTACGAACTGGACACCTTGCATTGGACATTGGAGTAACTTCTGAACAAAAAAGAGAACATAATGTGTACTCATCATTGTTAAGTTGATTTTTAGCTTGCCTTCTATCCATTACATCCTTGAGAGACACTTCAAGGGGGTATTATGTATGTATTCACCTAAACCCTCTTGAATAAAAAAAAAGGAAAGAAAAGAAGAAATTATACATATATCACAATTTTTTAGAGAAAAGAATAGTGGAAAATTGTACATTATGATGGAGAAGTGGGGGTCAGAGGTTGATCCATCCTCTGGTGAGAAACCCAAAAAAAATTTCCTTCACGGTGTAGCCATGCATGTACAATGTACACCACTCCGGCCGTCCTCCAGCTCGTCCGTTCTCTTCTTCTATGGTTCACCTTTCTTTCTATCTTCTCTTGTTCTGCATAGATGGTTGCGAAGACGAGAGAGAAGGCGCGGCCGTATCGACGTGCCATACCATGACCTCTGAACAATCGGAAGGAATGCCCTTCACCTTGCTTAAATCTTCCAGAA